GAACCTAACAACGTCACGGAGGTCAAAAGATTTTTAGGCCTGGTAAATTACTATAGGAATTTTATTCCAAACGCATCGTCTTTAATGTGTCATCATGTTCAATAGAAGTACCATAAATTTTTAAAATAGTGGGAAAGTGAGTTATTGATAAATACACAGAAATACTACTCGTTTATTTAAGAAAAAAAATTATTTTGTTGATGAATCTATGGCAATGGAAATATCATACTTATGTTAATTAAATGCCATGTATACTACTAAAAACACGCTAGTTGAGTTCTAAATAAAACTTTTCTTGTATTATCTAATCAAGAAAAATTGTACAGTTCAAAGAATTCAAAGCAAACTAAGCATGTTTATGTTAATGCTGATGATAAGCATATTTTCATAATCGATAATAGTTAAGTCACAAGTGCTTTTGTGATATTAAAATATAGTGCATTGTGATTAAGGGATATAAACACATAATGGATAAGAAAGCTATGCTGGTAATGAGAGAATGGCCGTCTAATGATATCTTAACGACTTGGGACGTGTCTCGCACATGAGAACTCTCATAGCGTCTACTCGGCGCCGAATGACTCTACTCTTCTAGACGCCCTTTTAGATTGTTCTCGAAATTAAGTAGGAACAAATTAGTTTAATATCTCTTAGTATGCAATCATTATTATTGGAACTTATTCTGATTTTTTTAATGATTTTCATAATATTATAAACATGGTCCTACCAAGCGCAGATCAATCATGTTCCCTTTTATCTTTAACAGTCAAAAATCTCAAATTAAATTATTTGTATATGGTAGTCGTGTTTTTTTTATAACATGATCCCGCATCAGTAAGTTGAGACGCCGCAAACTAATAATTGGGGTCAAATGGTTTGCCAACCTACTCAAAAAGCTGTTGCTATCAGTATGCGAATCATTTAATAATTTGCATGACGATCAACCAAATTTTATTTATGAAGAGTTAAGTAGCTTTTATTGACCTTAGGAATGTTTTATGAAGATACAATCCTACCAAAACTTATATAAAAATGATGACGTAGGATGTATGAAAGAATTGTATCTCATTGAATTTGCTAAATTAAAGACCACGATAACATATATCTATCTGTTAAGGTTGTCGCACAATAATCGTTTGTTTCGCGAGAAACACCAATAAAAAATATAATCCGATATTTAAAACTTACAAAGACAAACAGCAGCCAGCAACTTCACAGCATCTTGTGGCGGATCGCATTCAGGAAAGAAAGGCTTCACCGCATAATGTCCGAAGGTTAGAGCAACAATAGCTTGTGTGGTTGGTCTGATGATGAGCAGCGCTATCCATATCCTTAGGAACGCCGGCAAAGGACCGAACGCCGTGTAAATGTAGGCATAGTCACCACCAGACCTCGTGATGGAAGTGCCCAGTTCTGCATAACATAGCGCTCCTAATGTCGATAGTAGACCACAGGCCAACCATATTATCAATGATGCTGCTACCGATCTGAAACAATTGTTTCTTGTTGAGAATATGAATGAGAACAGAGATAAAATACCTTTCATACTCCGCTGAGTAATACTATAAAGGTCATTAGACATTTAGCGGAAGGCATACAGGGAAACATTTGTGGAGGAATTTGTGGTCTTGTAATTCCATTTGAATTGATGCAACCAATTACATGCAAGATTTTTTTTAATAAAAAACAAAACCGACTTCCAAACAAAATAAAATCAAACAAACACTAGCGGCGGAGTTATGCCGTAACACACATAAAAAAATATCGAATTGCGTACCTCCTTCTTTTGGGAATTCGGTCAATTAACAATATATCATATACAGAACATATATGTACTTCCGACATTTCTGAACAATACAATTATTTTGTTAAGAAAATGTGTGCCCAAAAAAATTCCACACCAAGTAAGACTACATATATTAAAACAAACTTAATCCTAAAATAGTCAGTTTATGTGTAGATGTAAGTTTGATTTGCGGTTGTATCAACCTTGGCCCTATTAGTAAGTTGTTCGCAGTACGACCGCTTCAACTTAAAAAGGTGCACGCTAACTTAACGATTATTAGCACTTAGGTTTAACTGATTACTATTAATAGACGTTAACAATTGCAAGATAAAAAGTATTATAACTTCATGGAAAGAAGACAAACACTATTAGACTTTAAGATTCACAAAAAACTTTGTCATGATAGTCAACAATATAATAAAGTATTAATGGTCACGCTATTTTACTGGTAACAAGAAGAACTATTAATCATTGAATCAAGAGAAAACTTAAAATTTCAGCCATCCTTTCAAATCTATCAGAAACGACACGATACCTGTCATCATTAACAATTATTTCTTCACCTTATGAAGTCGTTTTGATAGGCTTAGATAGAATTAAAAAATTATTGACTAAAGATACAGTGGACTAAAAAACTTATTCAGTATTCGAAATATAAGATACTCGAGAAGGGAACCTCCGATGCTCTCAGCGAGGGACGACTAGGCCTTAGTTAACCACGGTGGCCGAATGCGTGTGGTTTCACACACATTTTAATGTCTTCTCGGACATGTGCAAATTGAATTAATGTAAGAACGCCGGATAGATTTACACATGAAATTAGAAAATTGAGAGCACATTGGTACACGGCGAGGATCGAACCTGGACGATGACAAATTGGTCAGACGCCTAACTACGACATTAGTCACATTACAACAGTGGTAGTGCCCACTTTAACATCTTAGCACGAATGGGCCGGCACGCCCGGTGTAATACCACGACCACACAGAAGACAGGCGTGAAATGGAAGCAATTCCGTGTTTCGTCTGATGTGAGTGTGGTGCCGGAGGCCTAATTTAAGTCCCTTTCCCTTTACCACCCTTTTCTTATAAAGAGAGGTTGGGAAGAGGAAGTGGATTTGACGGTGGAGGAGATGCATAGGAAGGGGAAATATCCTCTTTATGTGCGTCTCCTCCTCCGTCGGATAAGGGTAGGCAACGCAACTGCAATTGCGGATGTCTATGGGCAGCGGTCGCTTCGCCATTTTGGCGATTTCAGGTGGCCGCTTGTTCGTTTGCCACCTTATGTTATAAAAAAAAAACTGAGGAAAAACAAATTAATGATGCCCTTTACCGATGGCAAGTTTTGGCACAATAAGGGAAATTTTTATGTAATATTGTACTAATCAGTTTTTTTTACTAAATTACAGGAAACAATTCCAAAAAAATGTTAATGTCTAATATGTTGTTGTTTTAAATAATTTTTTGACAAATCTAAATTTTTGAGCCATGACCAACGTCAACAGTAACTACTTACTATTACCCAAATAAAATCAATAAATCAAACAGACGTCAGAGTACAATACGAAACACAAGGATGTCGTTAGAAATGTGTTATTGAACTTCCTCATACTGTGGCTGTGTCAACATGTTTTAGGTTATCGTTTAATTGGCCAGATTTAAAGGTCCGATATAAACATATGACTTAAGGGAGAATGGGTGAAAATACTTGGATTTTGCAAAAAAAAATGGTCACATATATATTACATTTTAGCATATACATTGCTATTTATCAAACCATATATTAGCTTTACTTTTCATATTCATAAACTCAGACAAAGCCATAAAACAAGCAATTCTCCCTAAATGTAAAAAAGGCGGGAAAACATAAATCATACTTACTCTGTGTATTTGAACACTCCAGTCGGCGATATAAAAATTCCAGAACCGATAATTGTCCCAATTATAATACCGACACCATTGAATAGGGTTATTTTCCTTTTTAAAACGACTTTCGTGTCCCCGTTTGGTATTTCTTCACCCATAACGTAAAAAATCAATCAAGTATTAAACACCGGTAAACACAACGCACGTGGATTTTACGAGAAATGCCCGCGTTTTACTATCGACCAAGGTACGTGACTGCCGTGCTTGACTTGTACCTACTACTGTGATATTTTCTATTTAACTAACACACTTTTAGTGGACATTTTTATATTTAACAGTGGTGGTACAGGCAAAACGGTAACCAAGTTCACGTCAAACTGTGAAACACGCGAGCGCTCGCAGCATGTCATACAAACGAACCGAGGGACGGCCGCGGCGCATGTGTGGCTGTGTGAATTTATGTAGCGTGCAACCGATGCCGGGCCAGCTGTGCGCGGTTAGATAAAGAAAACAGATACTAATTGTTATAAGAGAAAAAGAGACAGCTCTATTAGTGACAATATGCCCATTATTCTGATATTCTGACTCAACGGATATCGCCCGGGAAAATTAAATCAACTTTAACAACAACTTGAATTATATTTCGCCCTCAATGTTATTTCAATTCATTTATGTATAGATTTGAATATTTTTATACATATTGCAGTTAGATAAATTGATCATATTATCTGCTTGTTACTTGACGAAGACCCAATGATGTCAGACAGCACTTCAGTTGCGTCATTTGTAGTAACTAGAGGTAATGTAGATCGTTTACAGTAGAGACGGTTTTATTTAGGGAAACCTTCGTCTCGATTAATTTAAATATGGATGTATATTTTTCCGTAAGGATAAAAATACCACTAATGTAAAAGTTCATACACAAATGTGTTAACAACGACGAAAAGTAAAATAGCAAATGTTTGTTTCAACAAACATCCATGTCGTATAGATTTTACGTTGCATATTACCTAATGACTTAAAATTTAAAAACAATTTTAACATACAGCAAAATAATAGAACGTGTGTACAACCGCAACGCTAGCACGTGCGATGTGATGTTTTCTATACACGTGTTTACTGACAACGCATTATTATTCATTAATCTGATTCATGTCGGATAAACATTTAACTATACATTACAATTACAATTACAGCCTAATTTAAGCCGTTATCAAACATACAATCTAAATCTGCTTGTAAATATCAAAATGACTTGTAATTCAAACAATAAAACAATTTCTTCTCCAACTGAGTAATATTGAGGGACATCGTTTTTTCTATAATGAATACAACGAATGCCAGAAAAAAAGGGACCTGGAGTAGATTAGCTTAGCTGGGGTCCATAAAAAAAATTAAAACAAAAACATTGGCTTCTTACATCTTATATCTTACTAAACAACACATGCGTCTTGTCTTTGGAACAAGAAATAAGAAACAATTAACGATACTAATTACGCAATTTTTGCTTCGTGATTATATGTCCGTATATATGATACAGTAGTAATAACGTACATTTTTACTGTTAAACCTGACAAAAATAACCAAGTAGTCTCACTCATCTTTCAATGATTTAAAAACAAGTCACAGATCAGTGATCTTCCTACAATGGTATCAAATTACAAACATCGAACTGTTTACACGTTTTATCTAAAATAACCACGAAAAGAAATAAACGTGCATACTCAAATAAAAAAGATAATCATGAAATACTATTATTTTGTGTTATTTGATTAAATTTGTACGAGTTAATTAAAAAACATGTTCACTGTTGTTGTTTGAACGATGTTTGAAGACATCGCGGGAGACATCCTGAAATAACATGAATTTGCAGCAAAACGTAGCGCACGCGCCGCGGCGCTGCCGTCGCTCTCGCCCGTTTATCCGACGCCATTTTCACACAACCCGCGAGCTTTCCCACAAACAGGTACGTACATTTGAATAATAATAATTTATAAACAAAGTCTTACATTATACCTTTAGTTAATTGTCTCGTTGTGAATACTCCTAATGAAGATATCGGACGAAGATATTAAATGTGAACAGACCAGAACATTGACCTCGATAGTACACGTAACAGTTAACATGTTTTTTGTTTTTAATGATGATTACTGAATACAATTGCTCGCAACAAAGGTATTCGAATAAAGTCCATTATGTGTTCTATAGTAAAAGTTACAAATATATTCAATTAAAACGCGGTAAAATGTGCCCTGACTAATAACACCCAAAAATGATCTGTGGAATGTGACCATCGTGTTTTATTACATCGGTACATAGATATCAAATCTGCAATCGATCGCATCTCATGTTCGATTCGATTAAACGCATGCCTTAACCAGATTCTATTTATGACTTCATGTCTTTATTTTTTAATAGATCAGTAAGCATCCCCCACGGCGACATCTCGAGTCCACGAGTCGTGTCGCAAGCTACGGGCCCATCGCACGTGCTCGCACGCACTTGGCTGAATACTAAAAAATATTGTTTTTTGAATTCCTAATATTTCATTGTGTGAAAAAGAACGTAGGAAGACTGTAATCCGATGACACTTATTCAAAGAGATCAGGAGACGAAAGAGGCAAACATGGATGGATCGCCGTCCAAAGACAGCGGAAAGTCCTTGAGGCCGGTGCGAAACAGGAGATATACTCGGTTAGTCGATGACTCATTACTTTCATATTCTAGTACTGGAATATTATTTTCTTTGTGCGTCACATACGAATTAAGTATGTATATGTAACTGACCTTTCAGTCGCGCCCGTCGCAAACAATACGAACATTTGTTACAATATTTTTTTCAGTACAGAGTACATTAGAGTTTCTTGTTTATAGGAGAAGCTTAGTGGCAGGTCAGCGGCCACAGAAGAGGCTGTTCACACCAGAAATTAAACGATATTTGAAAGACTGGCTCGTTCGTCGTAGAGACAACCCTTACCCAAACCGCGAAGAGAAAAAATATCTCTCGAGAGAAACAGGACTTACTTACATTCAGGTAATAGATTTGAATTCTATACACTTTCAGTTTTTAACAATACATGTTTTCAAATAGGCAGGTTGGTGCCTACATGCAACCTAATTGGATTTATGCCAAGAATTACCGTTTGTACATAAATAGGCACTATTTTTGTCACTGCTTGGTTAGACACAACCGAGGATGCGATCTTGATGTGCAAATAATAAGTTAGCGCGCACTTTATTATGAAACAGTTAACACTGTAAATAATATCAATACAGCATAACCATTCAAATTACATGTAAAATTAAAAAGCGATCAACGTTGATAGATGCTTAATTATTTCAAAGCAATATATTTTGGCCATTGTTTAACCGTAGAAAAGGATAAAGGGTCCGTCGTTTGAATTTTTTTGGAATGGTATTTTATTTCACAACTATGAGTTTCCACACTTAAACAAAATTACAAACATAATGCCCTTTTCATATACATTGTAAAAAATAAGTTACATGTTCTTGGAGAAATATACGACTCTCACCACACGGATATTAGAGTAAAGATTCTAGCTAAACTCTCATTTTGCTTCCAGATCTGCAACTGGTTTGCCAATTGGAGAAGAAAATTAAAAAATGTCAACGCAGATCGAAACCAACAGACATGGGGCCACTTGATTCGTACCTATAACGACCGGGCCCAAGGCAACGTCGAACAATTCAGCATCTGCTCCGACGACAGCATTTGGAGCGAACCTGGACCAAATCCTGAAGACACCCTGGACATTGATACTCGATTAGAAAGTAGCCCTGAATCTAATGAAGAATATCATCCAGACACCGATTCATCGCTGTCAACTGAGAAATGCGAAAGCTTTAATAACAATTCCAATGAGATCGATCACATGAGTGGAAAAATTGAGAACTCTAAAAATATAACGAGTCCCCTACTGCTAAGCAAATGGTTAGAAAGCGCTGCGCGGTTCCAACCTAGCGAGACTAACTATTCATGGTGGGGTGAGGGTAGACGACGAAAGATCGATTCAAAGTCCCAACTGGCAGTGAACAATTTACGCCACGACCGGGATGAAGTAGAAGCAGCAGTGGCGCTGACCGCTCTAGCCTCAGCCACGAGCCGTGTGACAGCACCCTAACTTTTCATCCTACAGACACCAAATGTATCATAATATTCCAAAACAATTATAGTACAGTAGGGGAAACTTGCGGTGTTCTAACATCGAAGCTACAATCGTTTGAACATTTTAAAACGAGACGACAACAAAAACCAAATAAAACAGCTTATAAATGTATTTGCAAGAAAAAAAAATCGGTTCATGTTACGCCATTTTCTTTTATATTATTCCTTAGTTTGCACCACTCACTATTATCTAATTAGTCATCTGTAGGAGGAGACGGAGTTTGTCTCGTTGCAATGCACAAGGAAATTTTTCCTGAAGTAGAACACAGCTAATTTCCACGACTGTACCTATTAATTTTGGCGCATGGCGAACCTTTGTATTCGTTTCCCAACGTGCCAACTTAAACGCCCGGCACTATGTTGCAGTGTTCCATATTTTTATTTTTTAACAAATTATTTCGTAGTTTTTCATAGATGTTGTTTTAGAAGTGTCTTGATATAATTTTGCATTTTTTACATTGCTCAAGTTTAAAACAAATGAATTGTTTTTAAGGTAGCCGTAATGTTTTGATCTCTTTTAGACTGGTCATAAGTTTAAATGATATATGCCAAAGATTGTGTTACATGCAAATTATAATAATTTTAAGCCTATCTCTCTTTTATTTAAGAATTCCTTTTTATAAAATATAATGAAATCAAGCTTTAGAGACAAATATGGTATTGTAAATTATAATTTTAAATGTAGCCTGGGCATTTTACAAAATGCCCAATCATATTATAACTATATTTTTGCTTAAATTATTACATTTATCCTGAAATAAAAGAAATTAAAGGTAAGATTAAGTAGGTTTAAAGACTTGTAAGCTACTAAGTATATTTAATCATATTTTAGATTATTCTTTTTTAAACATTATGAATTATTATTTTTAATTTCTACATGTTTTTCAAGATGAGAAACCAAGGTCTGTTGGCTCTGATTGAGCTGGCCGACAAGGCAAGATGCTGCACTCTGTAGAACACCACACAATTGACTTCTTGCCATATCAATGTTTGGTAGTTTACTAAATTCAACCAGTTCATTTTTGGATAATAAACGATCTTCAATTATGGCAGCTGAAAAGAAAAAGAAAATAAGTAGTTGACTAATGTTCGGTTTTCCATCTACTATTTGTTAGTGATTTTGGGTAGATAACTTCATAAATATCTAAAATATCATAAATTTCTAAACTTCATAACTAGAGTTTTACTTCTATGAAACCTAATCTAAAACTAATTAATCAATTGGTAATGATAAAATAAATGAAAACTACAGCAACTCAAGATAAGTCTTGTCAACAAAATGGTTGTTTGAAGGCTAAATTCAAATACAAATAAAAAAAAATAAAACAAAATAAAAAGACAACTATACTAATTTCTCCTTTGGGCAGGGGACTGGTGTCCAAACTAGGGTGATGCCCTGTGTGATGGTTCACTAAGCCCCTGCCCCACAGAACAATAATACATATAAAACAAAAAATAATAAAACAACATTATTAATTTATTGAAAAAAGCCAAATCTAAGTAGATAAATAACTAGAGAATTTTTAAATAAAGATAAGTTTGTAAAAATATATGTAAAACTGTTAATACATACCCATTACAACAAGCTGTGGAGCTTTCTTTAAAATTTTAAACATTTTGTCAGCACTTTCCGGTTGACCGAATATGAGATTTTGATGAGAGTTAAATAAACAATTGACAGCTTCATAGCGGGTCCCAGTTGTAGCCATCTTTACAATTTTCTTGCCATAAGTTCTTAACTGCATATTATTTTTTCTGAGAGCAGCAAAAATCGGCGTTTTATCTTCCATGCTTATTGAATTTAAATGCAAAAAAACAACCATTTTTGAAGTGTTAAACCAGTCAAGACACTCCTTTGCCAGTATTCGTTCAAAAGGATTGTCGATTAGTTTCTTGTTCTCAGTTGTAGTATTATCACAAAGTACTACATCGGGTAAGGTGTACTTAGGGGGTCCATAATAGGGTTTTGTTAAGTCTATCAACAATTGTCTCTCAAAGTGAGGTTTACGAGGTTTCTGTATATTTATCTTACCACGAAATCTCCGAGCAATTAAAAAGGTGCAAGGAGTTTGCAAAAGTGCTGAAAAATAAATAAAAACATATAGTCTTCGTTTTTATATTGTTTTGATAAACTTCATAATAATTATTTTACATGTACCATTCTTAATAGAAGCCATATTTGAATTTATTAATTTCTTTGGCTTTGTAAATATTGATTTAAAACGCTTTTTCGCAGTTAAATCATTAAAAGAATTACAATTACAATTTATAACCTCTTAACAAAGTTCATATGACAGTGTTCACATTTATGACAGTGACAGTCTGACAGTTACAGTTCCAATTTAATATCATATTTTATTATATCAGTAACTGAACTTTGGATAGGCTGAAAGTCTTGAAAAACACATTGAAAATTGCTTAAAACTGCGACATTTAGCTAATGTAAAAAGTTTTTTTTTTACTGGTGCTACGTCTCGTCGATGATACTTTCCCATACAAACACGGCTTTTTTACGCGATGTTCACGGCCAAGTAAAAGTTTTCGATGGCAACACGGCTGTACAGCTATACAGCTGCAAAGAGGTTCTAAAATTGTTCTATATCAAAATATTGTTGTAAATGTAGTACAGTAAATCTACTCCCGGTGTTAAGAATATTTTGCTAACAATGGAAAACGTGAATTTAACTCGACCGATCGTGTATATAGGTATTTATAATAAGAAATAATTGGTATATACTTACAACACTGAAATCTTGTTAATATCAATTGATATTTTGAATGTTGTGACATTTTTACACATTTTGTAAATTATAAGATCCGTGAGATCATACTATTTCATCACGTTGTATTGATTTGTATATCTAATTCAATTGGTAAATGTTATAAAAGCAGTTTATATTACCGAAACATTACAAAATTAAAGTAGAGTAGCAAATATACCGGGTTTGATAAGAACATTCAGGTTAGAGTTTTCATTTTATTTTTGTTGCAAAAATGAAATTTCGCGCGGAAGATACTCCACCGTCGTCGATCAACGGAGATGAGATCAACGGCATGGAAGGCGATGACCTCATGTACATGGAGGAAATGGAGGAGTTTCAAGAAGACCTCATGAACTTAGAAGAAGTAGACCAAGAGGAAGAAGACGCAGACATGGAAGTTCCTGAAGATCAATCAATTGTATTGTTTAACAAACACAATGGATCAGTATTCTGCTGTAATTTACATCCTGACGGTAAATTTGCTGTTACTGGGGGCGAGGATGATAAAGCTTTTGTGTGGTCAACGGAAACAGGCCAAATTATAACTGAATGTACTGGTCATAAAGATTCTGTTATATTTGTTGGATTCAGTTTTGATGGGGCATTTTTAGCCTCCGTGGACATGAGCGGATTGATAAAAGTTTGGAAATGCAACTTTGAGAGTACACAGGAGTGGCCAGTGGTGTTTGAATATGAGGCTGGTGATTTAATTTGGGGCCTTTGGCATTTTGGAACAAGAGTGCTAATATGTGGTGGGGCTTCTGGTGATATTTTTGTATTTAAAATACCTTCTGGAGATACAAAGATATTACCTGGTCATAATGTGAAAACAGAATGTGGCAAGGTAATTTTTTTTAAATTTAATTTGACTAATTACCTTCACAAAATAGATATATCTGGAGATACTATTCATATTTCCTTACTTGTAAATTATATTGTATCCATATTTATGTCCTAAATATGTATATGCAATATCCTATATTAAATAGGAACTCTGTAATACCTACAAATGTTTTGTCACAAAATTAAAACACTATGTGTAACATTTTTCAGCTCTTCTCCGATGGTGTTCGTTTAGTATGTGGTTATGAAGACGGCACAGTAAAAATTTGGGATCTGAAGACAAATTCTGTGCTTCAGCAAGTGCCACAAAGTGTCCACCAGATAAGAGTTACAGACGTTGATACCCACCCTGAAAATAATATTTTGGCATCTATATCTACAGATGGTAATTTTTTTTTTGTAAAAGAATCTTGATTAAAAAGTACCAAATAACCTGAACCTAACTAAATCTAATATGAGAATATACTGACAAACATACAGAAAAATTATGGCAAGTGAGATTCTAACTCAGTATTATTATTTTTTAAGAATTTCCTGTAGTTGTCATACATAAAAACAGACATGCATTTATGCAAAAAAAACATCACCTTGTTTGTCAGTCACATAAAGTAATAGTTTTACTACTGACGGTTTACAGATGTTTTATATGAAACAACCATTTATTCTTAATTGTCATCATAATGGTATATTAGCAAAAACTAATTAACAGTCAAATCTGCATAAATTATTCACTAAAAAAAAGATTAAATGACAAATTGTTTTTTTTTACAGGAAAGGCTGTATTGACAACATCTGTCAATGGTAAAATTGTCGCCCAATTGGAAACGGATAATGATTTAGAAGCTGTTGCATTTTCAAACAAAGAATTGGGATATTTAGCATTGGGTAAAGGATATTTTTTTTAATAATTTTTTGTAGGGACTTTGTTTCCTTAAAACATTTCAGTCCCATAATACCAAATACAAAATAACTAAACCATATAAATATATTAATCAAAATTAACGTTAGCTTGACTAAAAAGACTTCCCCCATTAGTGATTTGTAATGATACACTTTTTATAATGATAACCTTTTAGTAATGATATTCTACACTTGATGTAGGCTCTGAGCCACTCGCTCAAAGCCAATTTAAGATGTTTAGTGAGCTGGTAATGATGATGAATGCTATTATTTTATAATGATATCCTTTTTATAATGATAACCTTTTTTATAATGATAAACTTAAATTATAGCTTGTTTGATTTCTTTTAGGAACATTAAATGGTTCAGTTACGATTTGGGATGTTGGGAGACAAATGATCCGCCATTATTGTTCAAAGAAAGAAGATGGTGTTGCCGCTGCAGTGACAAAAATATTTTGGATAAATGATCAACTTGTCACTGGTTGTTTAGATGGATCTATTAGGATATATGACGGAAGGTCTGGAGAAAGAAGTTTAACGCTAACGGGCCACTGGTTGGAAATATTTGATTTATGTTATAATGAAAAACAAAATATTTTATTATCTACATCAGATGATGGTACAGCAAGAATATTTAAATATGAAGCAAAAAGTGAAAAAGTCTAATAAATAACTTTGTTATACAATAATGTTGAAACAACTTGTTTGTATGAGGCCTAAGGCTGAATTTTCTTGTTAATAATAATAAATATTTTTTCATACTGAAAATGTTTATTTAAGATTAAAACATTTTTTATAGTTTATGAAAACATTTTGACGAAAAATAACGTCGATAGATGGCGTGAAAGCTATTCCATGTTAGTTTACAAAATACCTTAATTCTTTGCTCGTGGAATACCATACTACCTAGGTTAAACAGTTCTTAAGAATATTGAAGAAAAAATTATTACCATGGTAAAGACAATACCAATACTTTGTTTTTTTTTTTAATATTTGTTGATTTTACTTCGTCTTTTAATGTGTTAAAAAATATTTTTATGTTGCTTTTTTTGTAGATTGTCGATTTAAAAATAAAACAAGAACTGGCGAGTTGTTGATTAAATCTTACTGGAGTTTTACTGATAAGTTTCCTATTTGAATTATGATCCTAAAAGCAATGATGTCAAAGGAGAGGGTCACTATTTGCCTGTTTCATTTTTAAGGATAAATGATGCAAAAAGGATATTGAAACATTGTGTTTCTATTGCTGAATAACATTTGTGTATTTTGTGTTTTTTTTTTATAATTTAATGATAATGAAGGATATTTTTATACAAATACTAGCTTTTGCCCGCGTCTTCGTCCACGTGGAATTAAAAAAAAATAAAAGTGAGTAGCATATGTGTTCTTCCACACTGTTATCTACATCTGTACCAAATTTCATCAAAATATATTCCAACTCCAACAAATATTGTCCATTCATCCATCCATCTAAACTTTCGCATTTATAATACTAGTAAGATTTCCAGCCAGAGCCATCCATCCGTCCTTTTACTTGTTATTTATTGATCAACTAATAAAACAATATGGTAGTAAACTTTACAAATGCTGTCATTGACCCCAAAGTGCGGCCATTGGTACAAATGAATTACTCATATCCTGTGTCAAGAAACTTCATCTGGTCGTGGTCGCTATCAATGATCTAGCGGTTATCAGTAGCTAAGCTGACTATTATCACCGTGTGTTGACTGCATCTAATTAGTTTCGGGGGAAAAGTATGCCAAATACACACGTGCTTTAAAAGAACGAGACGGATATCTCTAAACCGGTTATTCAAACTTGGCAGTGAATTCACATGGTGAACGATGAAATTATAATACACTTTGCTGTATGGGGATAAGGTCTAGAATCAATTGGCGTGCCGATCTCATTCATGTCGTTTCAGCATGCAAGCATGTGATGGCGGTAGACAGTCGTGGTTAACTTTGTGAAGTATAGTGAATTGTAAAGTGGGGTCGCGTCACGTTGAACGTGTCTACAACGTGCTCTGTATCAACCAAGTTTCGATGGTATCCCAATATTTTTCGCATTTATTTTTCGTATAGTATTTAATTCTAATCGGATTTTTTTTTAATTTATTGTACATTAGTAATTAAATTGAAACATATGTTTGAATATTTTAACCTGATATAGTCAAGTTATGTGGTATTCATAGTGCGTTTAAGTTGCGTGTTATCGGCAAAAGTGTGGCGGTTAACAATTATTAGACATTATCAGTATTCTATGGTTATTTTATGTTGGTCCACATCGCACGTGGTATTTTCAGTGGCATACTGAGAGATATGATGCAATGTCCGCATAGCGGAGGCTCAGAATTTCGTCTATTGAATAATATGACAGACATTGTATTTTCCAGTTAAAGATATAAATTATTTATCGAATTTTAAGTATAAAATTATTAATTTATTAAATTAAAATAATCAATAAAAATGGCAAAAGTATCAGATAGCGAGGGTTTGCAACCAAAAGATGTTGATGTCGGGGAAGTAAATGATGAAAAAGGCTCGAGTGAGCGAGTTCGTTTGAAGAAGGAGTTAAGTTTATTGAATGGGGTAGCTATTATAGTGGGGGTGATAGTAGGCTCTGGTATCTTCGTGTCTCCAAGCCTGGCGCTCAAGAATGCCGGTTCCAAGGGTATGGCTCTCATAGTCTGGGTGCTGTCGGGGTTCATATCAATGATCGGTGCTCTGTGCTACGCCGAACTAGGTAAGTGCAAACATTAACACCATTCTTACTAATAATTAACAACGTTAATTAACCAGTTCGGTTTTTGCCGCCAAAACTCAACTCGTTATGATGATGAAATACTGCAATAATTTACAATTTAATTTTTACTTGATTTTAAAAGGAGCAAGGATATTATTTGAATTGATTTACGAAAACTTCTATAAGTAATGCACATTGCATAATTATTAAATAGAAAATATGTTACGCTATACGCTAGCAACCGCAATGCAAGATTAATAACTTTCTTTTCTCGCATCGAGTTATGCGCCTATAATTTGTAATGGTAACACAGGCTGATTACATTTTTCAGAAAAAAAAAACAAAATGAAATATGCTCTTACTTTTTAGATAAGCTCATATCTTGCTATTGTAATGTTTGTTATTGTTTACTGTACGATAAACTAATCTATAATGAAAAACAATTACGATTTAAATATTATCACTACTGCTAATTTCGGGTCATTATGTTAAAAAGGTCGTACACATACTATATCCATAAATAAAGACTAGTTCACGCTGAACCCATTTTCTTCTGCCGACTATCTTATTTTTATCTCGGTTGACCCATTAAGTTACCCTTTAATCTCTCGTTTTATGGAATTACCGCTGGAAAACTTTAAACAACGTTATTGCATACTAGCTTTCGCATAAGACTCCGTCCGCATGTAATAAAAAAAACATAAGCTAGTAGCATATGTGTTTTTCCAGACTATCCTCTACTCTATGCCAAATTTCATCGAGATCCGTACAGCCGTTAAGGCTATAAACTTTAACAAACATCCATCTATGTAAACTACCGCATTTCTAAAATTGGTAAGATCTTGTAAACCACACCTAACTGTGTCTTTCCCCTCTAGAGAAACTATAAGTAATCGAAGCTTTCCACAGTTCAAATCCCTGCACGAAATATATTGTTTTCTCAGTTATTTCAAACGGAGAGAGAGAGATGTTTGTCTGATGACGACATTTACTACATACTACGATACTAAATATATACCAATACAGGAAGTGTATAGCTTTATCCTTCTTCACCAGAACTATACTTGTTTGTTACAAAATATTGATTGTTAAAACGCATGTTAAAACTTAACTAAATTGCGCCTAAAGTTCTTTACAGACCCTCAATTCTGACAATTTTAACTGACCAGTTGATTGTTGTCGAGCAAAACTTTTTATGTCAATTAATTTCTTACGCAGTTATGCCGAAACAATTCGACTTTTTAGTTAAAATGGAATTATACATCTAACAAATAACTGTTCTGCGATTATCGATTGTTTTGCAGCCAATTCAACTGCTTCATTGCAGAACTAAAATTTGAGAAGTGTGCTCATCTCCATATAAGACTAAACAGTTGTGCGATAGTTTAGTTTCAGGCACACGCTCTAAAAATCTTATGTTCTTAAATGATATTGCTGCAAATTACATCACTTGTTAGTTTTAAAACATTTTGTTACAATAGCGTAAGTGAATATGCGTTAATGACGTGAAACCTTGATGTATATTTAAATTGTTTATTTAAAACAGTGAGGTTCATGTAGCGGTTAGTTACCTATTGATAAAATTATCAGTTATGTGACGTTACATAATGTAGGGTTTTACATGACTTTTTTTTAAAATTGACAATTATATTTTTTGCATTCAATATTTTTACTAACGGCTCTATGTTTACGTGTACTTGCTAAAACAGAATGTCAATTTAACAAAAAAAAAACCATGTCTGTTAAAAAAACTAATAATATTTAAATAGAATTTCTAGTAAAAATATCAGTTTCTTAGTTTTTTTTCAGTAAAATGATATATAGATACAATAGCTTGCGTATAGTAATAAAGTTTTATCAGTTAGTAAAACCGACCGATAGTGTTTTGTTTTGATGAGACGGCGTTATTAATATTTTGCCTATCTATTTATGACTGGTTTAAGCCACACTCGATATAAATACGACATATTAATTTTGCCGATAGTTTAGGCGGATTCCCCACATCAAAGGACTATTATGAATTTTTACCCTTTAAATCAAAATCGGTCGTGGACCTTTCAAATTAACATGGGTTTTAACAATTTAATTTGCTAAATGCAATTCTAATCATCGTGTCTACACCGACCTCGCCCGCGCGACATTATAGTCTGTTACTCTTTTTTTTTAACATAAATAAAGCAGCGCTTGACCACGACTCCACCTAAGCCAAGTGAAGACGCGGCCGAAGAGTAGAGCGCGCTAGCTCAATAAGTGCCGATTCACCCTGCTTACTCACAGATAAATTACTTTTCTTACGGTGAAAGAATTTGTAAAATCGGTCTAGTAGTTTTAGAGTTATTTCAATACATACAAAAATCCAAAAATACAAATCTTTCCTCTTTATTGTAGTAAGTACCTATAGATATAAAATTGAACTCTAAAAAAGACACAAAAATCTACATATGTAAGTGCGTCCTTAAGTGAAAAGGTTGCAAAGACAAAGAGGACATACGAGGGATAAAGATTTTCATATGTCCGGTTTCCCAGCTACATTTAACTATTAGTGTTTATAACTAAGTATGATAACTTCATGTGCTATTCAAAACTACGTAATTTGAGTTTTACTCCGTTGAAACTTAGGTCAACCTAACACTAAAATAAATGGAAACTTCAGTAACCACGCATAAGAAATGTATTTTTTTTTCAGGTACAATGATTCCTAAATCTGGTGGAGATTACGCGTACATAGGGGAAGCTTTTGGACCATTACCCGCCTTCTTGTACCTCTGGGTAGCGCTGTTCATCTTGGTGCCTACGGGCAACGCTATCACGGCATTGACTTTCGCGAAGAATATTCTACAGCCTCTGTGGCCTGCTTGCCAACCCCCCACAGATGCTGTCAGTTTAATAGCCGCTGTTGTCACTTGTAAGTATCTTTAGTATTATTAAGTAAAGTAATACATATATATAGTATATAATGTCTATTTATATTTACTAAAATAATCATCATCTTCCCTAATTTATCCTTCTCCTGTATGGTCGGCGAACCAGGTTTTCGTCGTCCAAATAACTCTATCATCCGGCATCTCAGTCACCACTCCCTTAGTCATGTCACATTTCACGCAACCCAAATTCTTTTAATAATGTAATGTTTAGTAAAATAAAATGAAAGTATGAAATAAACAAAAGTAACTTAAGCTAGTTTTAAGTGAGTCAAGGTGATATAGGTTTTGATAACCTTAAAAAATTACATATTGATTTCTTAATTATCTTATGCTAAAAACGGACTAAATAAAACGATGTTAACTAATCGAGGAAGTTCTGACTTGACACTTTTAACTAAATTAATTGTCCATAAATGTCTGATTACACATTTATTGTGTTTTTTTTTTAACTTAAACGACTTACGACACTATCAACATCAGTAATGTTAACCTTCGGAATTAGACAGGTGTTCTGGCGCACGTTATTTGCACAAAGAGATAGTATGACGTATATCATATTTCACCGTATATCAAAATGTATATGTTTATGATATCTTACTAATAATATAAATGCGAAAGTTTAGATAGATGGATGGATGTTTGTAAGCGTTTGTAGCCTAAACGGCTGAACGGATCTCCATGAAATTTGGCACAGATTTAGAGCGTAATCGGGAAGAACACATAGGCTACTTTTCATCCCGGGAATAGTTACGGTTCCCGTGGGATTCATTAATTTAGTTTTTTAATGTTTACTCTATCATTCTGCAACGGTTCAACATATCTTATTGAAATTTGGCACAGATATAAAACAAAGTATGGAATACACAGGGGATAAACTTCATCCCCGAGAAATGTCCGGTTCCCGTGGGATACGTAGCTATTTGTAATTAATATAGTTCGCATGTTTTCTAATACTACGCGGACGAAGTTGCGGGCAACAGCTCGTATTTTATACATCTATTAACGGTTAGTCTCAAAGAATAAGAACATAGAATAAGACATTTAAAAAATCTCTCAATATTGTATGTTACCATAAACTGACTTCGGTTATTTTCATTTATATTTGTATACTGTACAACGTATACCATAATTTTATATACGAAATATAGTTGGACATGTAAAGAGCGTAATTTTTTTTTTTTCGCTCATTACAAATTCGACGCAATGCTTTTCTGGACAAACCGCATTGAAGTGCATCACCCCATGCAGGGGACCGGTTTCTTTTCCAGGAATCGAATTTCGGTTATTTATTTCCTACATCACGACTTCCCAGAACTGTTTCTTAAGTATTTTGGCAGTGAAAAAACGACTTTTGATTTATGTTTGCAATCATACAGCCGACTGGTTTTCGTCTTATGGCAACACTCAATGTTTCTATATTAAGAAAGTTATTAATCATACAACGTTCTAAACGAAAAAAGGGTTATATTTAAAACAACATTTCTCATGATTTTATTATCTTATAATTCAAATGTATATAAAAGTACAGCAAAGTTTGCTTTCGTTTCATACTTCAAGAAGGAGAAGAGACATTTGCCTAACTAATCTTTCGACAAAAAGGCCCCTTTTGCAACTAGACACAGATAAATGACAAGGTCCTTTTATCTGTAACCAAATTTAAATTTAAAGAATTCGCGAAAACGTTTTTTATCTATAAATAAATATCGTAGACACATTTGGGCGGGAAAATAGCTGAGATACCAGAACTGTTTGCTCAAGATTTTCATTAACTGGAAATGGAAATCTTATCAGTTCTATAAGATTTATATCAACAAAGTTTTTTGTTTTGATAAAAATATAGCCTTGTCACAATCGTAAAGCCTAATTTAAACTTTTGCGAGTATACTGGTTGAAATAAACATTTTTAATCGTTATCGTAACATTGTTTTAGATCAAACATTGAGGTTACAAAACGACACTATTCCTATTAGTAAATAGTTTCAGTAAGACTAAGAAAAATGCACCTAAGAAAAATACCTCTATGTTAAAATGTTTAAACATTATTTTATAACTTAGCTTTGGATAACGGATTATGGATAAGTAGTCACATAACATACATACTATATTAAATAATAGCTTGCGTTCGCGACTCCGTCCGTGTAGAAGTAAAAAAAAACTTTGTAGCCTATGTATACTTCTAGACTATCCTCTACATCTATGCCAAATTTCATCGTGATCCGTTCAGCAATTAAGGCTACAAAACTCTAACATCCATCCATCTATCTAAACTTTCTGATTTATAATATTAGTATGATTTGCTTGCAGCGTGATTTGGTATAGATATTTGAAAAATGTGGTTCCTGAGGTCAATCTTTTACCATACAGCATGTAAATAGGATTATCAGTTACTGATAGGAGTTTGTACCATTCAAGACGAGATATAACCGTGGATTGTCTTAGCACGACACGAAGCGGCCCGGTCGATTGTCGCTGACAGGATAATGAGGGCTTCCTCCCGCACCGTGCTGTGAGCTGTTAACTGTTACACTCTTACAAGGAATTATCCCATTCTACGGCGTAAGGGCACTTAAGATTGGATCAGATAGCCTGCCCTCGATTTATACGTTCAGTGTCACGACAGTATTGGAATATCTTTTGACAAATAAAACCTTGTCGTTATAATATTTTTACTACGGATTTACTGCACTTAAAGTCATTTAATAATAACTTCAAAATATTATATTTTTGTATAAAATTACTTAACTCACTCCTATTGTAATTATATTCTATAAATATATAGAAGACAGACGTCAAAAATATTTTATACTCGTAGTAGGTATTCTGTCCGATATGGGTGTATACGAGTAAAATACTGAATGAAGGTTTTAGATCTAAATTTATTCTGTAAAAAATGTTTTGTAGTACTTAAGACGTGTCTTCTCGTTTAGAATATTACAAGAGGTCCCGATGTGAAGATGTCAGACCGGAAATTATTCTCGAGTTTAAAATTGAATCCTAACAATTCTTCGCCTTGTTAGTTTGAATAGGGAGCGTTATTGAGTCCCGAGCAATTCGCTAGGGCTTCAAGCTATTGTGTCCTCTTTAAACTAAAATGCTATAGACTCGTTGACCTTCAGTTTATTTAGGGTGAAGTTGAACAGATGTCTAAAAGAGGGTTGGTACTCTACAACGCTCACTAAATATATTTAACTCTACTATGTGTTTTACATTTTATAAAAATAAATTACACCATAGCTATTTTCTTGAGATGAAAATTAACATTTACGGTTCGTATCAATTCAGTCCAAAAACAAAATCTCACTACTAGAAACAGCAGCATGTAAACGCTTTATAGCGATAATATATTCTTACTAATGTTTAAATGCAAAAATTTGGATGGTTGGATGTTTGTTAGACTTTATAGCCTTAACGGCTGAACAGATCTCCATGAAATTCGGCAGAGATGTAGAGTATAGTCTGGAAGAACACATACTAGTCACTTCTGTTATTTTTTAATTCCACGCGGACGGAGTCGCGGCCGAAAGCTAGTTGGTCATAAATTATACGTATTAGAAATATCTTTTATTCGTAATCTCTTCTTCATACAATTTAAAAATAAACCGACTATACGCTGCATGCGAGATTAAGTTCCAAATATTATATATAGTCTTTTTGTGCCGTCTCGAATTGAATTTTGATGTGAGCTTCAAACATGGCTTTTACAAGACATGCTTCTTTAAAAGGATTTTGTATCATGCGCATTAGTTTTGTTTTCTTATTAGACAAACTTTTGCTAATTTAAAAAAAAATCAATAATTACGAGACATTTTATGTTTTGGAACGAAAAGAAAAATCTAAACTAACTCCAAAGATTTAAATTATATAAAATTCAAATTGTTTTTTATCAATCTCTATAATATACTATTAAATTTAATGTCTATTTTTTTTTTATTTCTAACAGCATATCTTACCATTTACAGGTTTCCTAACAGCAATCAACTGTTACAACGTGAAATGGGTGACCAGGGTACAAGACTCATTTACAGCTGCAAAGATCCTCGCACTACTCGTCACATTCTTCGCCAGTCTCTGGTATTTATTCTCTGGCCATACTGAAAACCTCGAAAACATGATGGAAGGCACGAAAACTGCACCAGGGGACATTGCTATCGCGTTCTACTCTGGTCTTTTCTCATATTCCGGCTGGAATTATTTAAATTTCGTCACTGAAGAACTCAAGGAACCTTACAAGTAAGTTATATTACTAATGCTAGGTTTCTGAAGTTTCCATTTACATTACCACTAGCTTTCGCTCGCGACTCTGTCCGCATGGCATAAAAAGTGAGTAGCCTACGAGTTCTTTTAGACTATCCTCTACATCTATACCAAATTTCATTAAAATACGTTACGTTTAGGCTTTAAAAACTTACAAAAATCTATCCATTCATATAAATTTTCGCATTTATAATATTAATATGATTAGTGAGTTATTAGTGTTAGGTTGTTAAATTTCAACGAAGTAAAACTCAAGTTACGTAGTTCGGAAACGCATTTCATGAAGTTATCGAACTATAAACATACGAATGATTAAAAGTAACTGGGATACTGGCCATAATTGACAGTTTAATCACTATAACTGTGGACTTTAAAGGCCTGTCCCACCAAATAGTAAATGTGATGGAAATGTATTTTGTTCCCTTATCTGACAGTAACTTCATTTTTAAGCTATAAGCCAGTGGGACGGGCCCTTACGATTATAGTCGATTAAGGTTTTTTCACAATTTACCTAGAGATTTACTACATTATATATCTAGTGATTCAATTAGCATTAGCTGTCGCTCGCGACTTCGTCCTCTTGGAGTTAAAAAAAAAATAGTCTATGTTATCTACTCTCCGATACAATAGCTTTATAATGGTGAAATAATTTCTAAAATCGGCCAACTTTTTCAGTTATTTCATTACGTACCAAAATACAAATCTTTCTTCTTTATATATATACTAACTATTGCTTACGACTTCGCCCTCGTGAAATTTAATTATATAGCCTATGTTACTCACAGATAAATTACCTTTTTAACGGTGAAAGAATTTTTAAAATCGACCCAGTAATTTTTGAATTATTTCAATATATACAAAAATACAAAACTTTCCTCTTTATTACATTAATATAGATTTATATAAGTAATATTTTTTCAGAAATTTACCACGAGCGATATGTATATCAATGCCAGTGGTGACAATTGTTTACGCGCTCACCAACGTTGCGTACTTCGCTGTGCTCACCAACGCAGAGATACACGCGTCCGAAGCAGTGGCGGTCACATTTAGCGAGAAAATCCTCGGCGTGGTATCCTGGATAATGCCACTGTTCGTCGCTCTCTGCACTTTCGGTTCTCTAAACGGAGCTATCTACGCCTCCTCGCGACTATTCTTCGTTGGTGCTCGGAATGGTCATCTACCATTAGTTATATCCCTTATAGATGTTAGGAGGCTGACCCCAGTGCCGTCGTTAATATTTATGGTGAGTTAATGTAAATTTTTGTGTTACCGTTCATTTGTACTTGAAACAACAAACTTAGTTGATTCAGAGCAAATGTTTAACGTTAATGTCACGGCAACTTTTGTTATTTGCAATTTAATTAAACTAATAAGCTTTAAAATATCACTGATTTTGTATATATTTTGATAAATATTGTAATTTTATTTAAATATCAAAGTCGTCGCTATAAGGTCACAACATGTCCTAGATTGATGAGCGACAATAGCGAGGTAAGGATAGTTGTACGCGAAATTGAAATTGTTTCAATGATAAACTAAGTGATTGTAGATTTTAAGAACTAAAAATCCTTATATGCACAGTCGCGGAAACTCTCGGTGTTCCACTTCAGGAAAAAAACCCTTGTTCATTGCAACGAGACGAATTCCGCTTCTTCCTACGAAGAACTAATTAGATAGCATTGAGTTGAAACGAAGGTATAATAATAAAAGAAAGTAGCCATGTAGCACTAGACGACTTTTTCTGTACAGATACATTTATAATCTGAGTTGTATTGGTTTTTGTTACTTGTCTCGTTTCATAGTGTTTAAAAGTTTATAGCTTCTAAGAAGAAACACCGCTAGATTCCCCGACTGTACCTAATACGACTTAAATTTTGTAAATGTATTCTAATTAATCTATATAATATATCTGTATATAATTTTGTATGTCTTATTGCAGTGTTTGGTTACATTAGTGCTTCTAATGTACAACGACGTGGAGTCGCTGATGATCTACGTGACCGCGGTGGAGGCCATCTTCATCCTGTGCTCTGTTGCTGGCCTGCTCTGGATGCGGTACACGCATCCGAAGCTGCACCGACCCATTCGAGTCAGTCTACTCTTCCCCATGATCTTCCTTGTCGTCTGCACCTTCCTCGTCGTCTTCTCATGCTTTAAAAACCCAATGGAAGTCGGAATTGGTGTCGCGTTCATCGCTCTCGGAGTACCTTTCTTCTACGTGTTTGTGGTTCGAAAAGATAAACTGACGTGGTTGCAGTCGGCTTGTGATTCTTTTAATCTAACATGTTCGAAGGCGTTCCTCTGCCTTCCAGAAAATTCTAAGGAGTTATGATCGTGATAGTGATCTGAAGTGTTATTTGCGCTCTGTTTTAGAGTGATATTTTTGATCTGCCTTGCATAATGTTAGTGGTCGATATTGATTCCTATTCATTTTTAGGTTAAGTTTATTATTGACTTAGATTATGGAAATTGTAATAAATTTCGTATCTGAACATTCCTAATAATTTAATTTGTTTTATTTAATATTTTAATTATTAAGTTTTCTGATGAGTAAGATCTCCCTGCAGATAGAGACGTTTCTTATCTGCACAAGATGAGTTTCGTAAATATTTAACTAGATGGCGCTTTTTACAAACTTACTTTATAATCCTATAATCACACGAACTTTTGAGCAAAGTTTCTCATTAAGCCTTATGTCAAATTTTCAATGTGTCCAAATTATTGCAATATAAAAAGGAAACAATTTAGAAAGAAGATAATATTTCAGTGTGGACCTTTAGATATTTTCATAGCAAAGTCCTGTAACCCAACATTAGCAATTTCACAAGGAAGTAAATTAGCTATTTTTTTTAATTTACATCATGACTTGTTAGCGACTTCTTACATACGAAGCTGCGAAGACACGTGGAAAGGAAAGAAAACTCTTATCTCATACATTTGAAGCAGAATTTAATAAGGATTTAACAAAATCTAAAATCAATATCGATTCTTGGAACAAAACATAGAGACTAAAGACGTATATATTTGGTTAGAAAATGTTGTCTTATGAATTTGTTTGATGCTCCAATGCTAGGTCTCGTCTCTGGACAGAACTTGTTTCTAGGTTGTTATATAATTTCAATATAATTTCAAGTATATTTGAATCACTGAAGCGTATCGAGATCGAAGCTGGCACAATCGTCACGTACTCAAAGTATTACGTGCCAGGCACGATGCATTTTTTTTATAATTCATTTTCTAAGGAAATCATGAACAAACAGTTCATCCATTGTAACGGAAGTCTTATAAATGGTTTTTTCTTAAATAATTTAGGTTTTAAATACAAATTTTAAACAGTAGAAGATTAAGGAAGTTTAAGATTGAAAGAAATAGATTAAATAGACAATTCTAGTAACGACTTTTGATAGAGAAACAAAGTAACTATAAATAGTATGGTTGATTAGAGTTTGGTATGTACGGTAAGTTGTTACAACTTTTTATTCTCACATAAAAAGAACCCAATCTCCTGAGATATCTCTGTATAAGAGAACTGAAAATCTAAAAATTAAAATCTATTCTGTTAAAAATCCTAACTTTGTTACTGGATGTAAACGTAAAAATTGTGTTTACAGGAGGGGGTTTCAGGTATTTACACCATGTGGACGTTTTCCATTAAAAATTCCGTTTTACATATAAAAAACAACGATCAATATGTATTTAATGTAAAAACATATTTACGTAGTTACGTATTGACTTTAGTTATCAGTGGACGTTGAGGGCGGCTGGGAATATTTGTGTTTAGTTGTAATCAGTAAATAATGTACCGTCTCTGCCAACTGATCGAGTAAACTGATTGCAGAGCAAACAAGCTTGTACTGTGGAACAAACTCAACAATTATATGTATCACACATTATAAAAGACCGATCATTGCGTCTGTTTGTCCAACTCTACTTTGTGATGAAACAGAAATACAAATGATGTGTAGAATTTAATATTTTAGAAGTCTATAAGGGTTCTATAGAGACAAGCTTGTCGACAAGTCAGTTAAGGCAGTATTAAACACGCTTGTTGAAGAATAAGTAAAAAGATTTAGCTCTCCGAGTGATGCCGCGGCAGACAGTTTCTCGTAACATTTACGTAACAACAAACAGTGGCAATCTGGTAGCAAAATAGCCACTCCCATCACATACAGCATATCATATAATGTATAATTATTTAATTGAAATACTTTTGAGAGTCACAAGTCATATTTCTTTCGCTATGTTTATAAAATCCCAACAAGTTTTATGCATTAGTAACTCTAGACCGCACATACAATATTTAAATAGCCATGACTGTTTTCAAATAAATCTATAAATGACCTTGTTACGTATTTCTTTGTACATTGAATTAAAACATACTTATCATATGTCTTTAGGAGTTTTTGGGTAAGTTCTTAAAAACCTTAAACTACAATTTCCGCTTCAAGAAAACCTGGCTTGAATCGTAGAAGAAAAGCCCCCTTCGACTTATAATAATTAATTACATTATCTTCAAGCAAAACTTCGATAGATGGGAAATACACTAAGAAATAGTTCAACCCACTCCAATATCTAAAAAATCTAGTATAAATGTCACACGAGGCTGAGCTTTGGAAACGATTTTCTATTTAAAGGTAACTTGTTGAGGTCAGAAACTAGCTGGAGATTCTAAATTTTGTTCAATTCGACCTCGTCAGTTTCGAGTACAAGGTTTCGTTCATCAATGAGATAATAGGGTCTTCTCACTTAGAAGATGAATGATTGGTTACGAGGACAGATACGTCAGTTGAGGTGGGTCGCAAAGATCACGAGATTTTCACGCGTCATTTAAATTTTTATGCACAAACGTCTATTTTTCTATAAGAATCTGAAAGTAAAAAATAGAAAACTACTAGCCGGAGATTCTACATGATGCTGAAAATTATTGCATAGTCCTTATACAAGAAAAGTCGATGCTATAGACAAGAGACTTTTTTTAATAATAGTCTGGCAGAATGTTCTAGATTTCTTTTTGTAAAAACCTTCCGTTATAAGGCAACCTACGTTAATAACCAGTTTTCTATCGCTAATTATTTTTTAGTGACCATTAAAATCATGCGCATTTTAAGGCGTATTTTCTGCTGTTTCTTTTGAATTCATTCACTAGGTTACTACAATATTAGTTGCTAAGAAAAAAATATTAAAAAAAGTTAAAACATACTTTCTGATCTTACGGAACCATTTTGTAATCCGATATATTATAAAAAAGTTTTAAAACAAAACATTGACATTGTACTAAATTATCTAAGTCATGGCTAAATATACTTAAATATCTATAAAATATAGATTATATCGTGATTACAGATATTTTATCGATAAAATGGTTTAATAAAATAAACGTTGTAACTACTCATAGAATTATACAACATTTTTAAAACAACTGTAGACCATCCGATGGTAAAAACAACGGAAATGTTTACAGGCTTTAAGTTTAGCTTGTCTGGTTGCTGATTTTAAAATTAACTGATGCAAGATGAACCGCAGATATTTAGTTTCTCTATCTGCACTTGATCAAAAAGATTTTATTTTTTACTAGATCTGTAACGTACTATTGATAAGCCTATCGCCATACCGGATATAAATTGAGGGAGCCATAGATAACCGTAATATTCTAAAATAATTTATATCAAAACATATTTTTACCTCTATTTCATTAAAAAACAGAGAGAGGCATGTCAATGTTACAATTTATACAAGTTTTATTTATAGTGGAAACTTATCTCTTGTTATATTACTGATATTATAAAAATAGTAATCTTTGTGAGAATATCTCGCTGATATTCGGCATAGATGTAGAATATAATCTGACTACTAATCAAAGTTTTCTTTATTCCGCGAGGACGTAGACTTGTGCGAAACTTCTAGCTCATAATAACAACAGAAAACGTTTATTTCCACAAGCCCACAAATCGTACTAGTGTAATTGTCAGCTGAATAAAATGTCTTATTTATTATACTTACAGAATATCCGATTGCATGCCGTCGATGTGAAAAAAATTATTGTGGGAGAAAATGTAATGTTTGAAAATTATTACAAAATATGCTGTAGACATGGGAAGTTATGTAATTCACATTATGGTTAAATTAACGGATTTTACGACAGAATATCTTTTATGGAAACCATTAAACACCTGTGAGGAAGTCTGGACATGAATTGGTTTAAATTGTGTTAAAAAAAATAATTATTTGATGTATTTTCCTTATTATTCTACAGAAATTATTACCTATTTGTTACAAATGGAATATCCCGTAATCGATTAAAATGCCCTTAAAGAGTTGAGTTTTTGTAAATACGTATTCAGTTTTATTTACATAAGGTCGTATCTACTTATCCTTCGAGCGCAAATAATTGTAATCAAATCGATAATAATAATCTAAACAGATTTTTAAATAACTAGGTAGTTATATTGTAGTTTAGTAGTCAATACATATGATAGAAATGTAGAGTAAGAAAATGAAGAGTTTTAAAAAGAGAATTTATTTAGATATAACGGCTGATGGAGATACGTAAGAGCAAATTAAGATCATCACTGCCATCTACCATTTAATTGTAAAACAAATTCTTGTCTCTTTATTGAACCTTTATTGAATTTGTTGCGTTTCATCAAAATGTTTTATTTCGTTCTCGTTGTTGTTTCGTTTTTTTATTCAGATATTTTGCGTCCTTGTTGCATTTTTATTGCAAAGGTCGTTTGATAAAGATCAAATTTAGTAATAAGGACGTCTATTGTAGTTATTTTATGCTATTTTTAAAACAATTTTTTGATCGTTAAACGATATTTTATCTATGTTGACGATACTTGTGTCTCAGTTATCGGTTTCACTCAACAAGGTAGGTGCTCTGTTTGTTACGTAGAAACCAGAACGTAGATACTAGGGAAACATCAGCCTTATTTTTAAGGATACGCACTTAATTTTTTAATGTGGTAAACATTTCTATGATTAAAGCCATAACAAAAAAAAACTTTTGTGAAAAATGTTTCAAATTTACATTTGTTATGTTTGTTCCAGTTTGATTCATAACTGATATTTCTTTATATTATTATTTTTACAAATACAGATTATATCACGGTCTTTCGTTCAGTTGCCAAGCGCGTAATCGGCAATTAAATTACGATTAACACTTTTACACACGTCTAAAATGAAATTACAAACGAACACTTATTTTTTACTACACTCAGAGGCCAAGGTTTACAGCAACTACAGCAATACCTAGTTAAGAATTATAAAATATTGAAAAGATTCATGTGCGAAAATTAGGTTACCTGAAAGCCTAGACTCACTCTGTATTAACGTTTTTAAGAGCCTGTCACACAATCTTGTAAATTGTCTGAGAAAAACCTATAAAATATGCGATGGAAAAATCGGATTTTGGTACTCTACCTGACAGTTACGTCATTTTGAGCTATCTAAACCTCTATCAGCCAGTTGTGGGATAGGCTCTAAATGTCTTATCGCAATTTTATTATTCGTGGTTACCTATTTTTATTTTTCCGATTGACGGAAGAGTTGGTAGCATCTCAATGGATTTTCATTCACTAGTTTATATTTTGAATCGAAAACATTGGTAAACTTTATGTTGGTAGAATATATATTAATAAATAACAAACCTTGAACTCTATCTACACAGTCTGTAATAAAGAAATTAATAAGGAAGCTAAAGTTTAGAATGTAAATGAGTCCTAAAAAGTACTGGCTTCGCTAGTTTATTAGTTTTAAAGAGAATGCTGAAGAAAACTAACTAGTAGTTTTTGAGACTATATAGGGGTTGTAAGAATCTTAGTATCTCGAAATAAATTACTTCGACTCTATAAATCTACTAGTTAATTTGCTCGTGTAATTATGCGACTAAGTATACCGGTATGTCTGTGTATTATAATTGCATATGTGTGCTGTACGTGCCGGGACTGGCGAGTACTTTGGTATGAAACAAAAAACGAATAGCACAACGCATTGTACGCGCATTGCTTATCCCACGCGTTGATTATCTTATTGTCAAAACACTACATCCTCGATACTATAGTTTTTCTTCAAACAGGATGATGTATTTTAACTAGACGATGACTAGGGAGTCATCGCTGTTCACTAATGAATTTATAGACACCATATGACTTTTTTTAAATTCTATGGTAGCACAAGGGGGGCTTTTTGTTTTTGGAAAGACAATTCAATCCCATAATGCTACTCTTAGGCTAATAAACAAGCTGGCATCATCGTACAGCCGCTTCGGAGACACCATATGATATGCAAAGGTATTTTCTTTAGCTTATTACTATCAGCGACTTTAATGTAACTAATTCTATGCAACACATCATTATTCCTCATCTCAAGAGAGTAAATTGTTTTCAGCTCTGCTGCTAAAATGTTTTGCGAGATCCTATCTTTATAACTTTGTATTTCAGGACCTCAGTGTATGATAGACGTATCGTAAGCCCGCGTTGTCATTGACTCTTTACATTAGTAATAATATGTTTATTATCATGAATCAATAACGCAGCTTTATACTTATCGGTTTACCACGTAACCCTGTGAACCATCGAAATGATCACAAATGACAATTGCTTGAAACAACACAGAGCAATGTCATCGAAATCTAAAAAAGAGAATCTTTTTTAATGAGGAAACCTGAATGAATAATAGAGAACGTAACGCCCTCAGATTAGTCCTTGGAAAAAAATAGACACTTTCGCATAATAGATTTAATTTTCCAGTCGCCAGACATCCAGTCAGCGCGTAAATGCCACCTTTTTATCAATAACGGTGTTCGATCCGGCCTCGGAAACATCAGCCGGCGGCCGGTGAAAGTCTCAGACGCACGCCGAGCTTCAATCGATGAGGACGTCGGCGCGGGCGCAGTATTTCGCGATCGAATGGTGATAATGGTGTGAGGGAACAAACAAACAAACACGGTGCGCGTAAACAACGCGGCGTGATATCTCGACGTTCGGCCGATAGTGGGCGGTGCGCTCCTGCTCTAGCTAGATTCTCGACTAGCTCACTCGCCACTGCCAGTTGCCACTTGCAAGTCGCCATCATGCTGACAGCGAGCGCTTTGCTGGTGCTGACCTCGCTGGCTCTCGCGGCGCCGGACCTGAAGGCGATAGCGCCTCTACCAGAAGTCAACAACACGCTACCCGCCGAGCAATATTTCATTGAGAAGATCTTCGATAAATATGGATATAAAGGTGTCATCACATTCGAGGTAAGCTTCACTTTTATTTATAGTTCATATTTAGATTTTTCAATAAATATTTAACTAAGTAAAAACATGCTTTCGTTATTGTAAAAAAATAAACAATAAAATTTAAAGAAATAAAGTTACGTAGTTTTCTGTTTTTCGCGCCATTTCAGGCGTAACGAAAAATTGAAACCATTTTTCTGTAGCACCTTTTCCCGTTTAGTGAACGGAAGTTCAACGAACTTAATCGTCTCTTAGCAAAGTGTAATTTAATCGAACACTTATCGGCATCAAAAAACATATTTTCTTATCTTTATTTGGTTAAAGCTGTCGATATGAAATTTAGGGCTAAGTTATAGAAACTGTTAAAACGGTGTGTGTTAATTTGATTACATTTTCACAAGTCGGCCGAGTGACCATTGTCCGTTTCATTCAATCCTTGATTTGTTTTTAAAAAATGCATTCACGATAGCGTGTTAGGACACCGCGTAGAATGCCGCATTACGAACCGGGCAGCCGTGTCAAATATTTTAAAACAATACAAAGCAATTCGACATGTATATCGGTCGAGTTAAATTTAAAATTGTATACGGTCGTCTGCGCGTAGATTGCGGAAAAGGAAGTCGCAAATTTGATTCTCGACAGCGGACATTGCGAATTTATAAGAACAGCGTGTAGCGTTAGTGATGAACTTTGTTTATAGAACTAACTATCTGTTACTTGCATTTGTCTATAAAAAAAAATTGCAGTGTCCCTTTATATAAATAGATATACTTTTTTCCTGAGGGGATTGCTTTATGTATACTGCCGTACCCTCGGGGCTCGGCAGTTATGTGGGAATCTCGTCTTGTGAGGCATACCCACTAAACCCCTCGGTTCCTCCAACGCATTAGAGGAGCTACGGGCACGCTTAGTTATCGTCCGCGACCCCACCTGCGTCTGCTGCCAATGGCAGCACCTTCAACTCAGGTTAGTTTCACCTAACCTTAACATCAAAAATAGAGATGCGGTTTAACCGTTTAATAATTCAAATGTAGTTAAGGGATCCAAGCGAAGAATTTGCGTACGTAATATTTTCTCTCGTTTAAGTGATTTTAGCACATGATTGAACGTGGTTTGTTTCGTGTTTATTTCAATAAAATACGACAACAGTGTGTCGCGAGGCAGAACTGCGTGGTGTCAATTGAATCGAAACAATCGATGATTACTAATGTTTACATTTTAGTTTACTCCCCGTATAATTATTATTGTTACGGCTAAATTAGAATAGTTTTTACATGAGTCGATTAATAAAAACGCGCGCACACCTTGATTAAACTATCGCACAATTGTTTAGTCGCGCTTTGATTCCTATAAGTTTATATGGAGGTGCACGCTACTCGATTTTAGTTGTGCAACTAAACAGTTGAATGGGCTGCGAAACAATCGAAAATCGCACAACTGATGTGCTATGCAACTGACGCACTAGGACTAGGTTTTTATTGACAACAATAAAATGTTATCATCGGACGTTACTTTTATTTAGTATCAACTATCTTCCTAATTTATTTCTTTTCTTAAAAACTGTATTTATGTGTAATCTTATTAATATTATAAATGCGAAACTTTAGATGGATGGATGGATGTTAGAGTTTGTAGCCTAAACTGCTGAACGGATTTTAATAAAATTTGACAAAGATGTAGAAGATAGTCTGGAAGAGCAGTTAGGGTGATTGCCTTTTTTTTAATTCCAGACAGAATTTAAAAAAAAACAAAAGCAGCTAGACGAAAGCTAGTCTGTAATCATTTTATATTTATTGCATATAAGTCAATAGTAGTCAATTACTTCTAACGCGTTTAACTCTTTTTTAAGAAAATAATAAAAACCGCAATTCAAAATTTCCTTTTTCAAAACATTTTGGTACATATGGTTCATACCTTTATTTACAAATTAATTAACGTTCTCGTTCAAATACAAAAGGGGAATGTATAACCGTTTCTTTCCTCTTATCAACAGTCTTATTTAGTTTGACATTTTCGAGTTTTTTTTTTTAATATCGTCTTTATCTTAATCCTATAAGAAGCAATTGTTTTGATGTTGTTTTGACTACTAATTATAATGTTTACTTTATTATATTAGTTACTTCTATTAAACTATTCGTGTTACTTATTACTAATTACGGTAGTTATTTAGAAAAATAATAAACAAAACTGTATTTAAAATTAACAATAATTACCTGAATAACTTTTACCAGTATACTAAATTAAAACGTAAACATACGAGTAAGTTGGTTTGATAATGCGTTTTGTTAATTATATTCTGATTGGCAATTTGTAAATTATACTTGTTGGCAGTAAATTTATTTCTTACGAGCACTGGTACTGTTTATATACGTAACAGGTGCGTGCATGCTTACGTTGTTATTTATTTTTAAAATTTTCTTTTGACTTGAATGAAAAAAAAACGCTAAAATCAAGCCTAGATAATGGGCATTGTTCTGTACTTCGCAGTCATGGATTAGGTCTCGTAATGCCCACAAAGCGGAATAATAAAATCCAATGTAAAAATGTTTTCGCCTCTTTACTAATTAGTTATTGCATTTTACTTCTTCGTTGTCGGCAGCCCAACCATGCAATAAGATAAAGAACAGGATAGTATATATTGTTACGAGCTTGGAGGATAGAGTAAAACACTGCTAATTCTTCGGTAATTTATTCGCGACTTACAATAATAGGGACACACTCACACAGTTGTCCGTTCCCACTTCACGATGCATACAAACACAGATTCACTAACACTGAGCACTTTACGACACATTACTGACACTGTAACACTTGCATTTTCACTTCAGCTTCTTCACAGTTCACTTTCCATCGTAAGTCAGGTCTGACTCCCCTTATATACTCCGAATCTCGATCTTCTTTTCGTTATTCATTCGTCAATTTATTCCAGAATTTTCTCGATAGCCCGAATTACATAAATTTCATAATGGAACATTCTCAATGCCGTTTCAAATATTCCAGACATCTTTTCGCGAACGTCATTTTCACTACTCGTTGCGATCGATCACTCTGGAAACAGCTCGATTGTTCCTCGGATATGAATTTCGGTATTAATCAATAGATGACGTCACGACTATATGTTCGAATTATCTGGGATTTCAATCCAAGACTGCAACGGAGAGCTGCTATAACCACTGGTCTACAACGACATCTCGCACTATCATTGATTTAAACACTCTCAGAAAAATTACAAGATTGTATAAAATGTAGACTCTGACGTATCTCTTCCACCTACACTCGTGAATTTAAAAATACACATTACACATATTTTAACAACGCCGTTGCCGTTGCCAGAAGCCGCGCCGCTATAACGAGACGAAACTCATTTTCGTTAATATTAGCGACCATTCTATTAGTGATCGTTACCGCCCGGGAGAATTCCATATTACAGTACTATCCAGACTTTACGGCCGCTCGCTTCGTACATCGCAATTAAGCATTGGAGAGACGTAAATCGGTGCGGAGGCGGGGCAACTGCGTTTAAATCGTTCCGCGGTTTGCCAACCAAGATATGCGATCGCGGCTAAACATGAGCGTTTATAAAGATTGAATCTTATTATACTGCAGAATTTATCCGGAATTTCGTACGTCATCTCCATCGAATATTTTAAAGTAATTTAATGCTATTATAATAAAGAATTAAATGTAGGACTCGCTTTTCACTGATATCGTAGCTGATAATAGACATCGTATAAAGTATTTCAGGGCTACAACTGAAATATCAATTGTACACAACAAAAAACATACAATACAACAAAGTGTTGAAGCAGTTTGTAAACATTGTCACGTTTACGTCTTGAATGTACACAAACTGTTGACGAAAGAGAAATGTCTGATGCTCATGAATGACTTATCAAGAAACGTTTGACGTGATCGTGTTAGTGAGGGAAATTATCAATAACTTGGAAGTGTATGTGTGATAAGTATTGTTAAGAAAATTAGTACCGCGCTATAGAATTGGCCCAACACTAGATTATTGGCGTAAACGTCACATCTCTAACTGACAGCTGTCAATGTCATTAGGATTGATATTCGCGCGCGATCCTGAGTCCTGACGAGAATTGTTGCTCTGAGTTTAAAACGATAGTATCCATTAAATAAATTGTTTTAAAGTATGACAGATTTTACTCAACATATACGCTTTCTGAATACTCCTGATATAAAATTGTATTTCGTTTGTAAATATGAGTTACGCAATATGATTTCAAAAAAAGATAAGTGTAACTTCTATACTATTTGATTAATTCTTATCATTACCAACATATTTATCGCTTCCGGTATTTATACTAGATCTCATTGACACTAAATAATTTGGGGAATAGTTATAAAAGTATGGCGGTGTAGACTTTTAAAAAAAATGTTTTCTACAGCCTTAAATAAAATCAACCACATATTAAAACATATGTGACTAAAACTCAAGAAAGTCCATAACATTATTTAAGATATTTTAAGTTAAAAACCATGGATGTGTAAATTGCTTAAACAATTGGAGCAAATATTGTAAAGAAAACAATATGTATGTTTGCAACACTGCATAAAATTATGTGCAGTTTGAAATATGAAACTGATCTGTATTCATCTCAGCTTTTGTCAAATACAAAGCCAGTAAAATCACTGGTTTCGTGTATTCAACAATGTTATGACCAAATGTCGACACGCATGTTACAAAGAAGTTTCAGACATGTAAATAAAATTTTATTTAAAACAACAAATAAAACTTAACCGAAGATCTTTAATCGATAAACCGGTAAGTAATTACCATAAAAGGTCTTTAAACTGTATTTGCAGTGTACACCGTGTAAACTTATATTAAAACTAGCCTTCGCCCGCGACTCCGTCCTCGTGGAATTAAAAAAAAACAAAAGTGAGTAGCCTATGTGTTCTTCCAGACTATGCTCTAGATCTATGCCAATTTCATCCAGCTCCGTTAAGCCGTTTAGACTACAAACTATAACAAACATCCATCCATCCATCTAAACGTTTACATTTATAATATTAGTATGAAGTATGATTAGTAAGATATAATATTAGTAAGATTAGCTGTTCCCGTGCGGTTTTATCCGCATGAAATTATAAAAAAAAAATGTTAGCAGCAACCTATGGTCTCTTTCCCACATTAGGGTTTTTAACCAAATTATTTACCCCCTAAATTTAATGGTGTGAAAATATATAACCTAAATTGTGACGTAAGTGTAGGGTTTTTATTAAAAAAATATTCAAAAACATGATGTAATTGCTGACATTTTAGGCAACAAAGAAGTCTCCGTTTACGCTTTATTATAATAGTATAGTATAGATAATATACATTGCTGCCTAATAAGGAAAGGCTCTAAAACTAGTAGACATAAGTGTGTAAAGAAACCATCCCCCAAAGACCTAAAAAGGAGGATGCTCTAGGGTCTCGATCAAGGCATCTACAATTCTACAATAGGTACTGATGAAACATGAAAAGTGTTGTACCCTTCTTTTATCACATATATTTTGGGATATACAGACAACGAAAATCCATACTTGTTATTTTTATCGTGATCTCGTGATGCATGCAACATTGTTGCGCCGAATTTTTTCCAGATAACAATTTTCGATAATTTTCAAATCGCAATAATCCAGCAACATTTTCTTATCAAAGGTAAATAGATCAACATAACATTGGGAAAAGAAAACACGGACGTAGTTTTAAATAATTTCGATTATCAAAGTTACTTTTAGTAAACAATCGTTTTTGAATCGCACACACGGCTTTAATATTTTGTGTAACTAATATTTTTAAAAATGATAAAGTATTTGCAATCTGTGTTACAAAATCATTAGTTATCTATGTCTCCAAAAATATCGCTCTACGGATTTAGCGTTGAGCTATTAAAGAAACGCAATAACTTAGTTTACAAACTTATTATGATGTGATGATTGATGACTATGATTAAAAATTTTATGATTTGCGATAAATAAATTGCAATAAAAATTATGAAGGTTATGGTTTACTAAAGTAACGAAATGATTGGAAAGATTTTTTCTGCAGTTATTTGAGTTGAAAAGGGTAGTTGGCGTAATTTTTATGTAACAACACATTCAGCGGCTTTGTCTCGCCTTTATACGCATTTTATCAAACTTTAAAACATTTGCAATTTTTTTCCAGGGTTTCGAGCACTTGTTAGACAGTCTTGGTTTGGGCGGGCGGGTGTTCACGTCACCTCATGACCTGGCCATACATCGTGTAAATGGCACCTTCCGACAGCTGCACGACACACAACATAGACATAAACGATCGCCCGTCATCGGTAAGTCATCATACATATACATATACATATACATACATAAATGCAAAAGTTTAGATGCATGGATGAATGTTTGTTAGAGTTTGTCGCCTAAACGGTGAACGGATTTCGATGAAATTTAATATTAATGTAAAGGATAGTCTGGAAGTACACATAGGTCACTCACTTTTGTTTTTTTCTTAATTCCACGCGGACAGAGTCGCAAGCAAAACCTAGTTTCTTATAATTTACTTGCTCCACACTTAAGTCTAGGCTCTACAACTAGTCTTTTTATGAGTATGTTTTAATTGTCTAGGCATAAGTATACATAAGTTATTTAACTAAATATGCAGATAAGGATGACACAGGCACGCATGTAGTCATCCTACTTATTCTCTTGATTAAAAACAGAGATAGACATATAATTTTATACACGCGTTTTAGTATCTAAAACCCACAGTATCTCCTATTAATTGAGCGATCTTAACATCCACATTTAATGAATAAAGTAATTAAAAACGTGCTTCGTGTTAAATTTAAGTAAAAAGCAATAAAGACGTCCTTGAATAAACGTGCAACTAGTCAGGTGAAATGCGGAAATTGAACAATAAAACTTTGTGGAATTGGCAATCAATATAAACAGACACGTCACGTCATTGGGCTCTGATTGTCCTTGGAAATGATCACCGCAGTGCATATCCGCTGGCCTTTATGGTATTTAGTCACACTAACCATAGAGAAGGAACTATGGTGGTCCGATAAAGCAATTAGTTTCACTAATTCTCTATAATTTTATGCCTCATAAGTAAATAGTAATTAGACATGACTAAAGATAGTTTCCTCTCGATAATTGCACTTAAATCTCGTCTATGAGCAACTTAACCACTTATTTAGAGAAGGTTTCGAACTATTGAAAAAATTGAGAAAGCATGAATTCTTTACAAACGGCGATTTAATTATATACGTACTCCAAGACTAATTTTATCGTGAGTCACTATATGAAAATTGGTAAAATGTCAATTTGTTTTCTTCTATGCAAAAATATATACCTGCATATAACGGCGGAGGAATACAAAAATGTGAAATCAACCAACCCTCACTGGGCAAGGGTGGTATGGCCTAGTCACCCCAAACTTACAGTAAGCTCCGAACCCATCCGTGGGGACGTATAGTTAGTGTTCTCGTATTATGCAAAAATATATAATAACACAATAATGGACGAAGCAAGATTACGGAATCCCGTAAAGTTTGTGTATATTTGCTGGTTATTCTTTTTGGAAACTCAAGTCTACTGACGGTCTCTGGGCTATAAACAAAACACAGTAAGAATACCTTGACCATAACTGAGAGAAGTTATTTAACAGTATTAATAGTTCGTCATATAACAGCGACAAATAGGGCGTTATTCATCTGGGATGAGTACAACTTATTGTTTCGCACGTGATAATACACAGGTTAGTAGTCAATGTCATAATAAGAATTGAATATAAAGACAGCTAGATAGATATGAAAATGACCCTGACGCTTTCGACATCTATATTATAAAGAGTAAATATCTATATTTTTTTATTTTTGTATGTATTGAAATAACTCATAATTTCGCTGTTAATCGTTTATAAAATTATGATTTAATTAGCACGTTAATCCTATTGGACTATTCCGTTCCTTTTTTCAAAATTAACGCAATCATTGTCACAGATAAAAAAGCACGTCTCACAAATTGTGAGATTAATTTTGTAAACTAATTCCAAGTGGATTTAAGGCTCAATAGCGCCTTGTTCTTGCAAAAACAATGACACGTTCCGCGTGCATACAATGTTCATTCTATATTTATGCCCGATAGCCCCCGTTGGCGCGAGGGCAGCGACACCTGCAGTCAAATAGAAATACGAAAGTCAAATATAAAACACAAAGTGAGCAATGGATAAGCTTATATAATTTAGACACCGGCTTCGATGAGCAAGAGAGATCTCAAATACTTATTATTATACAATCGAAAGAATAGGAATCTGTTGATAAATGCGCACCTGCCAATACAATGTTAGACATTATTTTGAAACACTAAATCCTGCGTTTTCATTCGTCATATAATCTTTCGTCTTATTATCAACTAGCTGTTCCCGTGCGATTCTACCATATGAAATTGTAATTTATTTTATTGTTTACATTTGTCAAAGTCTCAATTGTAAATGTCAAAATTACCATTGCCGTAATAACCTTGCTTCCTTAATGTTGGCAGCTTGTAGTTTATGGTCCCTTTCTCACATAAAGGATTTTTCTAATTTATTTACCCCTTAGGTTTAATAGCATGAAAATATATAGCCTAAAGCTTGTCGTAAGTGTAGGGGTTTTTACTAAAGAAAGGGTTTTTCAAAATGCTGTGATTGCTAACATCCTATCCTACGCCACGAAGGAGTTTGTGTTTACGCTTTATTGTATTAGTACATGTAGTAGATGACATCGTACCATTGTATAATTTTTCTAGACAAGTACTAAATTTAATGTGAATAATAAATTTAAATTAGTTACTCATACATTTTTACCCATAACATTTCTTACATTTATGGTGTACAAATTTGGTACGTACAAATAACTACTGCAATGCAAATAATGGAATTATGTTTTGACAGCTGGTTTCCGGGCAGTCGAGCAAAAACGTTTCACATTTATCTGTTCTGTTCACAGCACAAATACTAGTATTTGTTGATTCCATTCACAAAGGAATAGGCAAATTAGTTTTACACAGTTTTTGCCGCAAAATACAATCAAACTGAGAATGTTTGTAAATTAAGTAGTTTTAAATATTTGTGGCTGTCATTTGTTTATCGATTGTCAGTTGATTATGTTTAAAAAAAAAACCTGAGACAGTTTGTTTTGGTTCAGTGGAAATTCACCTTAAATGTTCTGAAAACTTTAAAATTTTAATTTTGATCCAAATGACGTTCGATGTTCTTATTTTTTTCTTTATATTAGTACGTGCCATTCTATAAAATATCGAGAAGTTTCTTCGAATTTTAACATCCGTAACGGTCTGTTTTTGCTGTTTATTTAACAAGATACGCTAGATAAAGATTATTGGTGTTACATGAATCGACCGTGTCTGACTGAAAAGTACAAAAAAATAACGTCTTTTAGTAGAAATAAGGAAAATTCCGTTTTATATATGCCATCTTGATTCCAATTACCAAATCAAATCTACCTTTTATTTTCCGATTATTTCTATATTTATTTAGCCGTTATATTCCCATCTACTTTAACTAAACAAGATTAAAGTCAAATTTCTATTCGTTAGATGTTAAATGTATAATAATATCGGATAGAAAGTAAATCTACCAGGTGTCTCAGAACTCAATAGAAAGCGCCATTCGTATCATTTTAACTGCTTTCTCGTCGCCATAACACGTGCCACGGAATAACAAGAATTGTTTACGGTTAACTAATTGGTGTTATATATTGAAAATCTCTAATATTAGATAATAAGGGCGGATTTCTTAGAGATTCTTAACCTAAAAACAATTTTGAGGTTATAAGATTGTTACGTTATATTTAAGACAAGAGATTGACAATTTATTTTTCAAAAGTTAGAGTCTTACTTACTCATAAACAAACTTTTATGATATTTTAATATATCTGATAAGTTTTTATTAGCCCTTTGGAAAACAACGGGTTCAATTAATATATATTTTAACAGTAAGATAATAAAATGTTGTGAATTTGGTTCCAGTTAGTCATGAAAAAATGTTTAGATTTGACAGCGTACGTACCTGATTCATCGCCTACTTAAACAATAATTACTTTTAAAACTTAGATAACTCTCATAGTTTTCGAAACAGTTTGTATTCATCTCATATACGTCCCCATCGAGAAGTTCAAGTTTACTTTAAAGTACCCTCTTTTACCCTACATACTCTTTCTTCCCCCCCAGAAAGCAGGGTATCTTTGGCTGATGATCCCCCAACACCAAAAAAGGAGTTACACAACTACGGTAGATGTATGTGGATTGGTCGAATTCATCTGTTTTTCACTATCTTTGACAACGCATTGGTTTATGATGGAATCGAACCAAGACTTGTAAATTACACAATCAACGCCATCTATGGTTAATAAAAAAGAGTCGTAAAATAGAATAGAAAATAACTTAGCTAAAGATAAGTGTTAATTATGTGCGTAAACTATATAGATTCATCAGATACTAGCTTCCACCCGCGACTCCATCCGCGTGGAATTTAAAAAAAAACAAAAGTCAGTTGCCTATGTGTTCTTCTAGACTATCCTCTACATCTATGCCAAATTTCATCGAGATCCGTTCAACTTCATTCCATCCATCTAAACTTTCGCAATCATAATATTAGTAGGATTATGTTTAATACTACGACTAGTACGTACTATCAGTAGTAATATTACGTAATAAGTAGTTACTGCAAGCAAAACCCCAGACGGATGGTCTGTGCTGTTGTAAACCGATTATCCTATTATTGCCCCGTGGGTGAGACGGCCGCTCCATTAACCATACATCGACCCTAGAGGCCCGACCTCACGCCGAATGAGCAATACACTACGTATTTGTAAATTGTAAATAGCGGCCACACGACTGCAGCATTTGCAAATACGCCATTTTTATTAAACAAAACTTTTATTGCACATATCATTTAATAAACATGGGCTTCGCCAGCCTATGATCTTGGCTTTTCATGTAATAAAATTTAACGGGAAAAAAATTTTTATTTTCCAGCGGACCCAATTTTAAAGAAATCATGCCTGTCGCCGAAGGAAATACTCGAAGTTTACGGCATGGAAAACGAGCCAGGAGTCATTACTATCAACCCGAAGACTTTCCTCGAAATGTGTCCCGCCCTGGTGTACCAACTCGACCAACGCTCCTGCTACAAGACTGAGGCGCCACCGCCCAAACAAGAAAGATATTTGAGTAAGTTATCGCAAGAAGCAACACATTGGTTGTTACCTAAATTGTTTCTATACGAGTAGGTTTCGACGATAAGCCATTGCTAAATACTATGCCGCCTACTAAAAAATCGGTCATAATTCTTCATCCCTTGTAAAGTTACTTGAAGATGTTGGTTAAGAATATTCAAATTGATTATCTTTAATGTTGACCATCAATGTGATCACGTGTTAATTGTTCTATTTTTATCTGTTTCAGCATGGATATACGCAAGCTTAAGCATCTTAGTGATCAGCGCAACAGGACTCTTCGGAGTCGCAGTAGTACCTTTGTTAAAGTCAGCTATATTCAGTCACGTGTTACACTTCCTCATCGCCGTGGCTGTGGGGACTTTATGCGGCGATGCTTTGCTACACTTGCTGCCTCATGCGCTAAAGTCGCACGGGCCTTCCTCCGAACCTCAAGAAGAAACTGAAGTCATACTCAAATGCAGCGTCACCTTTTTGACAATATTGTTTTTTTATTCGGTTGAAGCTATCATGCAAACGCTTAACGGTGGGCACGCGCATTCCCATGATGATCCGCAAGGGAAAGCTGTCGAAGAAGTCAAAGTGGATTCTGGCAAACAGACGGAACCGATCGAACTCGGAGCTATGATGCCTGGGTCACCTCCACCGCCGGTAGAGAGGCCCATGACGTCTACAGCTCTCATGGTGATCGTCGGCGATGGCCTGCACAACTTGACTGACGGTCTCGCGATAGGCGCCGCCTTCAGCGGAGATCCAGTAACAGGTTTCGCAACGGCGCTTGCCGTGTTTTGCCACGAATTACCGCACGAATTAGGAGATTTCGCAGTTCTATTGCGCTCGGGTATGAGTATCAGACGCGCTCTTTATTATAACCTATTGTCTTCGGTGTTGAGTTTTATGGGAATGGCTGGAGGCATCTGGCTGGCGGAAGACCACGAGTCGGCATCGCAGTGGATATACGCGGCTACAGCGGGAACCTTCTTTTATATAGCCCTTGCGGACTTGGTTCCTGAAATAAACCAAAACAATCACGGTAAAAGTTTAAACTTATTCTTTGCGGTGCTCGGCATACTCACCGGTGGTATCATTATGCTATTGATAGCTCTACACGAAGATTCCATACAGTATCTATTTAGAAGTTCGGAACAATGAACAAAATAACAAGTAAAGTACATTCGATTGTGATATTTCTGTTAAGGTACCTACTCATGGTTGTTCTATTTGTATATTGTTAGTTAAAATATAGTTAAGTCCCGAATATTAATCAATAAGTTGTCGCATATCTTGATTTCAATTGGTGACACAAAGTAAGGAAACTGGCCATTGAAATCCACGACTATTCAGTTGGAAAACTTAAACAGCGAGACAGCTGTTTGGAATGCAATATTTTATCATTGTTCCAAGCTTACTAAAACATCTGGAATCGAATAGTAATGATTAATAATGAATTAGAATAAACGCTAAGCTTACGTTGCTTTAGATGAGTGAATTTTTAGATGTGTAAACACTATTGCAATAAGAAATTGCATAATTTATACGACAAATACATTCCACGTATTATATTATTAAATGATATTTAATAATATTAATATTCCAACGATATTTTTAAACATTTATAAGAAAGTAGTTACTGTAAACGCAGTAATAAGGTAGACGTAAGTGTCCTGGTAATTATTAAGATGTATAATTCGCGCTAAGGAGGAATTTGATTGATGATAGATGGAGGTAATACTTCGTTTGGGAATATTTTAATAACGATTTAGAAGTTATAATAACATCAATGGCGCTAGTGATGTAACTAATAGACGTGAGTTATCTTTCCATTATTTGTTTTGTTTTAAAGAATAACTCGCAATAAACTTCGAATATCATATTAAAAGTGTCTTAAGTCTTAATTTTGGATAAAGTTTTGCTATTGATTAAAAAAATATTTAATATCATGGTCAATCATTCATTCATATTTAAAAAAAAAATTGATATTGCAATGTACCACAGATTAGAAATAATTTAATACCACAGATTTTATTAAATAAATACACATCAGAGTAATAGAATAGCGAAAAAGCTAAAGATTACAAAATTTTAAATAATTTAAGGTCTACAAGATATAAGATTTCGCTTTACAAAGTTAACTATTTACATATTTCCTACGATTTTCATGTATATAGCATAATTAATTTCAGAATTCAAAAAGCCATCTACCTGTTAAAGTATTTAATTCAGTATTTGTTCCTGTTTTAAATGTATTGCTATAAAATAGAGTACTTGGTATTTGACCTAGTCAATTTTGTTTTTCATAGATTTTCATTTTGCGAATTCTTTATTGGATCATGTTATTATATTAAATCGCGCGTTATTATCTAAAATATTTGTTTAACTACATTATTTTATTGTAAATATTTTATATTTTTTTTATTTTCTTATATTTTTCTATGTATAAATTGCATGCGTGGTAAAGTTCTAAAAGTAAAAGGCGATAATATTTAAGAATTATGAAAGGATTTATTTTGTAAGTGTTAAATTTAAATTTGTAATAAAATGTTTCGATAACTACACGAACGTGTTTTCCTCAAACCCATTTGCGTAAATTTAAAGATTTACAAATGAGAAAGTCTATAATCCAAACCAAATCTGTGGTTACACTGGCAAAGATGGATATGGATAAAGAAGATATTATAAGGAACACTCTCACCGATAATTATGCTTACTGTTAGTTTATAAACCGTCTGACTCTAGACCTATTATGAACGGACCAAATTTAGGAGATTAGAGTTTTTATATTATTTTATTTTGTCAACTATTTATTGTCTGCGGCAAAACACTATTGTTGCCACACTTTTCAAAAAATGATTGTTTTTATACTGAGCATCTTGCATCCGCATCCGGTAGTATAATCTATGCTTTCAAAGTAATACTGTCAAAACTGTCAAAGTCACTATGTAAAAGTTAGAGCTTCAAAATTAGCTTTCGCTATATTTTTAAATATTATTGGTATCTAGAGACATCGTATTTGTCTTTTGATATTGAAAGTATTTAAAGAAACTGCGATAGAAAATGTTGAAGGGAGTGGTAAGTCAGATTAACGTTTATTTGTAATCGAAGGCTTTTTTCACGATAACATTGTTACGGAATTTAGATAAACATTGGATGTGTTTCAATCTTTTCGTTTCCAAATATGATAATCTTACATAGTTAAGCTAAATTATGATTCTTAGAATAGATTCAATGTGACGTTACTATTTTTGCTATAAAAACTCTTTCGATGTTCTACGTCTTCTTTGAAGTTAACTTTTTAAAAATGGAAAACCTCAAAATGGCAGTTACATTAGCTTTAGTTCTTTTAAATAGCTTATGTTACTTAAGATGTAATTTTTAGGTTGTCTATTTTTTAAAAGTTTGCTTGGTGGAATTAAACCAAGCAAACTTTTTGTATACCAATATAATAGAAAGTGATAGTGTATGAATTTATTTAATTTATCAACATGTCAAATTTCGTAAAATTATGGCTATCAGAAGGATAGCCTGTTATTGGTCTCTATTTAAAACTACTGTGAGTAGAAGATCCTTAATAATAAATATATGTTTTTCATTTTAGACATATTAATATCAATGTGTATGTTCAGAGTAAAAACATTTTAGTTGTTTATTGTTGTTGGTCTTAGAACTATTGCCATGCACTTGTTTTATTTTTTAATTATTCCCATTCTGTTTATTTAGTGTAAGTAATTACACTAGTGACTAAAGGTCCATTAAAGACCAAATAACAGCTCTGGATGCAGCAATTGGTACTTTATGGAAGTAAAGCATACAATTGCTAAAATGAACTCATAGCATCATAGGTACCATATCAGGTAGAAGAATATTTGTGTGTTTCAGGTTATTTTTGGCTCCGGTGTCTACACCGGGGTATATATTGCACAAAATTATCAGGTAAACTTGACATATTGCCATAACAAGATAACTTTAGTAAATATCTTTACACTGTATTGTTTATTGTATATTAGCCATGTCAATTCATTTGGCAACATGAGGTCACGAGAAGTCAAAATAACATCTATAGCTCTATGATGTATTTTGAAAATAGAAACTTCATACCTCTAACTCTGGTAAAAATATAAATTGAATTTCTTCTCACACCTTCAAGGCTACAGGCAATGACTGAAATGGACAAACTCACATTGTCACCTGTGTTATAAATTTGTGTAGCTCAAGGAATGCTGTTTGTGGATAGATAGATTTTCTTTTTCATATAGAAATGATTGCTTAAAGTGATCGCATAAGAGGTCATGCCTTTCGTATGTATATAGAAATCCTTCACTTGTGAAATGTATAAAACTAAACTTATGTATAAATTTGCATTGTTCCTGGTTCAATGTGCTATAAAACTTCATGGTGTGGCCTCTTTTGTTAAAGTTCTTCTAAAAATAACTTCACAATACTAATACCTCCTTTCCATAATTTTCTGAACACAGGGTGCAGTTTCATTTATTTGTAAGAAAGCCATAAAAGATTGTGGAAAGGCTCTTGGCAAAAAAGATGGTTTGTTTTATTGATTTATTCCAACAGTAGAACTAGTGTTGGTTGTAACATTTAACCAGGAACTATTTGTTCACACAGTTTTTCTATGCTTTGTTTGAATCTGTATTTTTTGTAGTGTAGTTTTTACTATAAATTTGGTTTAAAACATGATTGTTTAAATTCCATGTACATTGTTACTTCTGTCCAATAAAAAAAAATTAAACATGGATTAAAATATTCTTATAGGATTGGCATCATCACAGGGGGGTTGCTACACCCTAGAATACAAAAATGTAAAATTGATAGATGAACTAGACCATGTAACTAGTAGCTACCTCACACCAAGATCTAGCCCAGATTGGCTAGTGATGCCCATGACGTACAGAATACCTGTTTTGTAATTGTTAAGGATAATAAGTATTATTTATTTTAATAACCATAATTTACTTCTTCCAGATTGACAAAGTCGAAAATCCTAGGGTATTGTTTGACAAAGCTCAAAGCTTCATCAAGTCGAAACTAGGAGACTTATCTGACGCCAAAAAAGACAAATGATTGATTAAACAGGTTGAGGCAATAAAATGAAATAGACAATGAAATTTAAATTAAAACATTTTATTATTGTATATACTGCTTACCCTATTAGTCCTAGTTAACAATAAATAAACAATATGTTTACATAGTCTATTATTTAAAGCATTGAAATACCACCTCCAATATGTTCTACTCTTGTTAGTGGTTCCTCAAAAGCCAACCAATCACTGGAATGTGTTGGCAATAAACCCATACTCTGACATTTATAAAGAGCAAGTAATATATTCACAATATTGCCAATGAAATATACAAACTTTTGGACAGCTGCTTGTGTTCCTTCAACCATCTTGAAGGTACTTTGTGTGGCGAATAAAGCTTTTATAGGGCGAACTATCAACATCCCTACCATCATAATAGGGAATATAGAGATGGAGTTTCCAGCCATGTACATTATGAATAGATTCATTGGCACCTGCTTCAAAGGTCCTAGGGCTACATCCCAAAGTTTTTTGATGAGTAACAAATTGGAATCCGTGTCTTTCGAAGATTCTGTATAGTTAGCATTGGTGGACTGGCTGTAACCAGGGGGAGAAGGCAGATCGTTCGCTGAAGTACGAGCTCTGTAAGAACATAGAAAACTTAATATCGATTTTCGAATTATCACTGTTCTAAACTAAAAATTGCTATAGTAACTTACTTTGGGTTGAAGTCTAGTGCCCATTTGAACTTTTTGTTTGATTTTGTTAGAGACATTTTGCGATTAGTATATTATTTGATTTAAAACAAAATAATCGCGACTGCTAAATCGAGGAAATACAAATGTCAATGTCGAACTAACAGCACAATGGCGGCGAGTATAGATCAGATACGGCAAAGCATATTAAAAACAGTGCTGCCATTTATTACAACGAATTACAGATAAGGTAATGTGGAGCAGGACGCAAATAAGAGAGAAAATAAAAAAAGAGCTTTTAATTTTTAACTATAAGCTTGTGTACTTAGGTATTTAATATTTAACGTCTTCCCACTTCCCACAAATATCTTCCACCTTAATATTGTTTTATAAATTAATACTTATACTTTTCGAAAAGACTTTTATAGAAATTTACACTATCCTTAATACCTCTTTTTTCATAACAATAATCAAATTACTATTTTAGCATATCTGAATCAACCCCTAACAAAACAGTTTAATGCTGATAAGTCTTAAAATAATCGATGAAATTAAAAAAATTGAAGCATTTTATTTAGGAATATATTCTGATGATTTGGGGCATTTCATTTTCCTATTTCTGGATTCGCCTAAATATAGCTCAGACAAAAGGACGATTATTCTAGTTCGATCAATAGTTAAAATTAAAAATAAAAACACAAAAATAAAATTTTCACACTTTTATTAACAACGTGTTTAAAAGAACGTGTATAAATCTAATTATCACAAATAAATTCGGTTTCGTTAGTCACTGGTATGATATTGTTGTCTATCTCCTTGCATTTTTCTCCTATATCGATATGTTCTTTACAAAATATTACCAATCTCTGGCATGCTTCGCGAAGTATGTCTTCCGGCACAGTTAATACGATCCGCATAAAATTGGGATACTCAAAACACTGAAATAAAAAGAAGAAAAATTATTACTCAAAAAGCACACAGTCTTGGTATTTTCAATATGATAATCTAATTAAAAACATATAAAAATGCATAAGTAAAAAACTACTCAGTCGTGAGATAAATGGAGCAGTTTTACTAGGGTAGGGATTGTATAGGACAACTACCATCACTTACAAAATGTTTTTGTAGATTCAAAAAATATAGAAATCTTTTAAGCTTTAAAATATTTATTAGAGACAGAAAAGGTTCAGTACCACCTTTAATAAAAAAAAATCGAATGAAACTCACCCTACCAGGTAAACAGAATACAGATTGCTCAGATACCATCCGCTCTACAAATTGCAGATCGTTTTTAAATTCAGGGAAAAGCGATATTTTTATTTCTATCATCATATACATTGCTCCTTGTGGCATAATAGGACGCAGCCCTGGAGCCCGTCGGAGCTCCTCAAATGCCATTTTAGCTTGATTCTAAAAAAAAAAGATTGTTCATGGTAATTACGTCAAAAACAAATTGGTATCATGGAAGTTTGTATGCCTTGAATTAGATAAAGTGTATGAATGCTATAGAAGTGAATGAATATGCTAATATTCATAAATACAAAAGATTTTGTGAAATCCTTCCATCGATACTTCGACACGCCTGTGCGGATATTAACGACATTATTTCGATATTTTTAAATGTAAATGAAGATTCAAGAGTAAAAGAACCCTTGGTTAAGCGTTAATTTGCTTAATAATTTAAATTAACATAAGTAATACGGTAAATTCACTGTAACTGTATTAAACATTAAACCGTTTAATTAACTATTGTTATGTATCCCTTGCATTGAATTAGCAAGAAAGTCAATTGAGATGTTAAAAATTGTAAATGTGTGTTACATTTATCGCATTTTACACTTATTACATTTTACTATATTTTACTAATTGAGTAAAAGAACTTTAATTTTTCATCGTATTGTAAATAAAATAAGAAACAAATCCAATTACATGATAAACAGTGACGTTACTTTTCTTTAAAAATGTATTAATATTGAATTAACAAAAGTAACATCGTCATATAATAAAATCTATAGTTATAAATAAAATTGTTTTATATAAAACAATAATACAATGTCATTCTCACTTTACATACCGGAATAGTTGTCTCATGGAACCTTCCACTCACCTCAATAAATAGAACGACTTCATCGAAGAAACTTTGCGGCGTGTATTTCAATATGGCAGGTAAAGCGCGCTGTATCAATGTACTCGGACCGAGTATCCTTGTGGCTAGGTTAGCCAAGCCATTGCGAACTTCTTTTCCTAATATATTATGTCTATCGTGAATAATAATCCATCCCAGCCGCCAACCGGGCACTAAAAACCGCTTGGTTAGCCCGCTACAAGTTAAAACGGGAACATCTTTCGATAATGAAGAAATTGCTGTGAATTCATTTCCCGAAAACACAAAATGCTCGTATATCTCATCGGCTATAATAGGCACTCGATTTCTCGATGCTATATCTAATATGTCATTCAAATGCTCCTTATTGTATACGGAACCGCAAGGATTCGATGGATTTATAACTATTATTGCTGCTGTGTCGTCGTCAATTTGATTTTCCAAGTCATCCAAATCGACCATCCACTGCTTATCTGGCTGTAAAAACACAAATAAAAACATACATACGAATTGAGTACCTCCTTCTTTTGGGAAGTCGGACAAAAATAGGTCAATTTTACATAATTTCTGCACGAGGTTTTGCGTAGTTAAGAATCAAATTATAATAACCAATATGCAAATATAAGCCACAATAAACTCGTTCTGTTTCTAGAAACTTGTTCATAAGTTTATAGTACACTTTATAACTCAGCAGGTATTTCTTATTTGAAGATGATTTAAATTTCCATGAGACTATAAATAAATTTCCCGGCTTTCAGACATTTTAAGTTGGTTATGGTCTAAGAGAATGCTTTTATTCCCCAATTATACCTGAACTAAGTATTCAAATCCAATCTAAATATATATGATAAAATTGGAACGCCTGTTTGTAATATCAAAAAAAAATTCCAGATATAGGAAAGATGATGTATTTGCGTTGCTGATTACGTTACGTTGCTGAAACGGGTGGGTCTATTTCGACCGGACTTTTACTTAAGGGTAGGTGACATAGACGGGCATATTATAGGCTACCTTTAATCTTATTATTGCGTGGACGAAGTCGCGGGAAATAGCTAGTCCTTAATATAACCCTAAATAGTTTTGTTAAACATAAACAAACAATCCCAAAATTGTTTAAAAAAAAACCTATCATAATGTTTTATTTCAATTGGGAACATAGTGTTTGTGCAATACTTAATAAATTACAATAAACATTTGAAAAACATGAGTCATGTAAACAAAATCATGTCGCCCAGGCACACAAACAACAAAACATAAATATGTTTTTGTTTACGCGCATATTTATGTTAATTAATTCAGGCCTTATTTTTTAGTGTTAGGAAAATACGTCAAAGCCTTTCAAAATTAAAGCGTATTTTAAATCATGTCATATCCTTACTTAAATTAGTTTTTTTATAAAATCTGTATTGCCGACACTAACGACTAGGATCACCATTATTAACATAGAGCATGTTATGTTACCTTATTACTTCATACTAATTTTATAAATGCGAAATTTTAGATGCATTGTTGTATGTTAGAGTTTATAACCTAAACGCTTGAACGGATCTGGATGAAAATTGGTATAAATATGGATCATTGTCGGGAAGAACACATAGCTACCTATTATTGTGTTATTTTAAATTCTTTGAGGAGGGAGTCGCGAGCAAAAGCTAGTAGATACGAGTACATGAACATTAGCATCACGTAAATCTAAATTGATGAAATATATGTATACACTGTACAATATCGGACCTTCCGGAAACAATCTTGACCTAGTGTTGAGAGCTTGGATTCATAGTCTTCCTTGTTTTCGAACATTGCTATTTCCAGCAAACACTTTACAATGTTTTTGGATTATTCCAACAGAATAAGACATAATTAGAAACATCATCTAATTATATTATAAAACGATATCGTTGCTTTAACTTATAATCAAATGAAAAATAGAGTTGCGGGGAAAACTGTAGGAAAACTAGTTTGAATACTTGGCCTTGACATTATTGTCTTGTGCATGTGAAATTTACTAAACTATTTCAACTCAGTGACCTTGTTTTATACTAATGATATAAGGATACAATATCCTTGACAGTGGTAAACGCTAGCAAAATCATCGGTTGCAAGAATTGGCCCGATCGCCTGATACTAGGTCTGCACAGAAGACAGGCGTTAAATGCAAACAATACTCCAGATCTAATTTTAGTCTCCTTGGTTATGACGAAGGGATGGGAAGAAGTAGATTTAACGGTAGAATGAATGCATAATAAGGATAAATATTATATTTATGGTCACCCTTATTCCGTCGATTAAGGGTAGGCAACGCATCTGCAATTACGAATGTCTCTAGGCAGCAGTCGTTTTGGGATATAAAAAAAATAACTTACCAGTAGTTTATAATACTTAATAACTATTCCTAAGCCTTCAGCTAATGTTTTGTAAATCATAAATCCCGGTCTTGGCACAAGAATGTTTTGTCCCGAGTCTGCTAGAACTGATATCACTAGTTCAATGGCATGGGAACACCCGCTGCAGAGTATCACATCTTCTGCAGTCACGTTGCCCTGATGTGCACTGTACTCCGCCACCGCTTCTCTCGCCTCCTGATGTCCCTTCGCAGGACCATATCCCCGGCTCGTATGAAGTTCTATACTCTCTCGTACCGCTTGCAACACTTGTTCCGGTGGATTCAAGTTGCCAAAAGTTGTCGGATCACCTGATAAAACCAGATATTATTTACATATACATTTGCGCAGTATCACAAACTCTGAGACCAGTTTAGTGACTTTTGGATATTTTAATTAAATAGGATGAAAGAAAAAACTGTTTTATGATTTTATTGATTGTAATACTTAAATTCGATACAACGAAATAGTTAATTTTCTGTGTATAAATGATTTATTTGCCATATTCTTAAACATTCGACTGTAACTTCGATAAAGGGAGATATTTTAGACAAGAACTCTCACAGAACAGTGCTTTGTAAACTGGCCACTGTGTTTGTATGTGTAACGAGTTTTGCGTTGACAGGCAATAGTGTGAAATAGTCTAAAATTTAGATGCACTGTTTTTTTTTCATGATGATCTGTTCCGCTCATTGAGTTGAACCCATCCCTCTGCCTTTCCCCTCACTCCTTTGCAAATACTGCCAATTAATTCATCTTACATTCTGTCTTTTTATGGACCTCAGACCAATCGAGATCGAAATTACTTTTTTTGTCGATTTCTGATACTTCGTAAATTACGGAATTAAACACTGAGATGGATCACTAAAACAATCGTATAAAACGTATTTACTCAGTTTTATAAGGGACATAGCGAGCGATGAGAAACATTTTGGCAATGGAAACCCAGATTATTTCGATTTATTAAATCTACGTAACAATGTGTAAAGCAATAAAAACGGTTTATTCTTTGTAAAAACGCTTTATAATTAATTTGGCTGTATAATTTCTGTTAATTTGATCTTTTAAAAATTTAGTGGATGAATTTGTCTGTTAATTGAATAAAAATAAAAAAATCATCGATAAAATTTTGTTTAGTGTAACGTATATTTTTCGCGGGAAATATTAAAAAATACAGTTTTCTTTCAATCCAGTAATTTCCTTAACATTATCATAAGTAGCTAACATTAAAAGTTAAGTATAGAAAGCCAATGTATGAGCAAAAGGTGTATAAAATGCAATACCAAACGAGTTTAGACTGCAAAACAAACAGGTATGCAGGTTGTACACAGTAAACAAAAATAATTCATTCAAAAACATAACACGAAATCAATCATATGATATCGTGTGATGTTTTTATCAGTATTCGCTAAATTTTACCTGCTTTATCAAATAAAAAGATTAATTACTTAACGCCAATTTTTTTTCTAACTAAAAGCTTGCTATTTTTTTTTAAATGTCATCAGAATACAAAACTTTAAAATATTGTACTAATGAAATTATTGCGACATCTAATTCAAGTTGACCTTGACTTAATTACTAGTTTGTATTTAAAATAAAATCTTGTTTCATTAAATAAAAAAGGTACCACAAACAATCTTGCGAGAGAGGAACCAGCTTTGGACTAATTATCGGTGGAATTATAATTTAAATCTCGCAACTTAGAATATTAACTGTTAAAAAAATCCTATCCAGATTTTTATTTATGCACAATATTTTATTAAATTTTTAGTCACAATTAACATTTTTTTCACAAAAACTATTTGTGCAAAATATTTTTGATTTTTTAAATATTCTTCGTTAAAATTCACTTTAAAAAAATTACTGTAAAAAGAAACTCACCAACGGAAAGAGCGATGAACGGCTTGCTGGGATTGGGTTCCACTGTTAGGTTCTCCACGATACTCCTGATCAGGTTATGGGTATTGCGAGCCAGCGTCGAAGCGCGCACATCCCATTCTTGAGTCCGTCGTCCACGTTGCGACATGGGCACAAAGCTAGCGGAATATTGAATGCTGTGACAATACTTAAACTTGAATCGAGAATACCGCTCGCCTTTCGATACACCTCAGTTTTGTACGGAAACTAACGTTTGACAAGCTGGCTCTAGAGCCGTGGAACTGGTTTGAAAATGTATATGAGATGACGACAGTGGTACAACTTATTTAGACATTCCACCCTTGCCAATAACACCACATACGACGTAGTTATGGAAGTCTAGAACACATTGCACTTTGTTTATTAAGTACACAACACACTCACTTTTCTACCTACTATAAACCTTATGCTTTATACTATCTATTAAATTGAGGGTTAATTATTAATTATTTTAATCATCCGGATTATAAGTTTTAGACAAAAAAATTCTTATTCTGGCACCAAACCTAAGTCCTATCCGCATTATATATTTTTCTTTGAAAACTACCGAGATTTGAAGCAACTGCGAAAAGCAACTTTGATTCGCGGAAATTTCTGGAACACTCCATCGATCCGTATACTATCAACGCGATAAAAACGAGACGATTTCTTTCGAGCCGATCTTATTTCTATGCAATTTTAATAAAAAAAACTATAGCGTGCTACATTTTATAGTCACATTCCCTTAAATGCGTTTTAAATTTGTCATAAATTAGCTGGAATCATCCAAATATGTGGTAGGTGCCAAGAGGAAATTTGAGGAAAAAGCGAAATTTTTTTTTAAATATTCATAGACACTTTTAACAGGGAAGCATGTATAGTTTACAGCTTGACTAACTGTAATTTCTACCTTTTACTTTTTTTATAAACCGACTAGTTTTCGCCCGGGACTCCGTCCGCGTGGTAATAAAAAAATAAAACCAAGTATCCTACATGTTCGTCAAGACTATCCTCTACATCTATGCCACATTTCATTAAGATCCGTTCTGCAGTTTAGGCTACAAACTCTAACCAAACAACCATCCATCCATGTATCTAAACATTCACATTTATAATTTTAGTATGAAGTATGATTATCAAATTACTATCGGTATATAACTCGTAATGATTGGAATTAGATAACGAAATATTATTTACTAGTTAAATATGAATGTTTCTTCATTTCACTTTATGCTATAAGTATATCGACCCAACAGAAAAATATTCCCAATGGGCCGAACGACCCAACGGGAAACACCCAATAAGACTTGTAATAGTACTTACATCCTCATAGCTATGTTTAATGTTGCCGCATTAATTTAATTGTTCCATTCAAAACAGACACAAATTCACTGTTCACTTTAGTTTAGTCGAATTGATTTACTTATTTCGAAGAGTAACTTTATATTTTTCCATGTTTGTTCACAAGATTAAGAAAGAGAAAAATGAAAATTATTTTAGTATGTTAGTAGCATTTTGAGTTATCTTACAAGACCGGTATTCAGGCGGTGAAGGTCGATGGCCCAATTTCAAAGTACTGAATACTTTCTTATGTTTTTTTTTGCTATACCGTATTCAAAAATAAACAATTAACATTTAACACTAATCTGTGTATTAGATAATATGTATGTATAAGAATTTTCAAGAGAATGGAGCAAAATATTTACTAACTGTAGCTGTGACCGAGATTTGAACCAAAGTCCATCTGTAGCAATTCAGGAGCAATATTTGGCTGTGTTTGACACACCGGAGAGTTTGAATGAATGTTATAAAAAATTCGCATCTGATTTAAATTATTGTTATCTCCTTCTGATAACAGAAATCTGCTATTTCTATCTAAAATAATAACCAATAGTTTTCATTAGAAATCGGTAATTCCGTATTTAAACATTCCTACGGAACCGCGAATTTAATACCTATGTTTTTTTTTATCTCACCGAGGTATTACGTACTACAATTAATTGTTTTGAGTGGTGACACTTACGTATTTTTACTCATCTTCTCTCTTTCTCATATCTTACATATCCAGACCCTTCCCGTTCATGTAAAATTTAGCCTATGTTACCTACTCAGTGATATTCTAGGTTTGTAATGGCGATAAACTTTTTGAAATCGGATTAATAGTATCGTATCGAGTTTATGTAAAGGATTAAAATCTTCTCTTTACTTTAAAAAATTTTCTCTTTACTAATATTACATTTAAATACTGAATAAACTCTTTATAACAAAAATAATACTTGAGGAAAGGAAGATTTTTTTTTAAATATTAATTTAGTTTGTTACCATATTGACATGAAAATCGCTTAAAGGAACATTAAGCCCGGTGGTGCAAAGGATGTAGGGCCGCGGTATTTGGGATGCACCAGCATCTGGATGTCTCATAAGAACATCGGAAATTTGTGCCCGTGGGTCCATTATTGTTAAGACGATCCTAAAAGTATGTATTGTATTGGCTTTTGGCCTCTTAGAGTAAATTTGCCCCTAGTCACTTTTTTTTTAATTAACGTCGTTTTTTGTGCGTATTAATGCTGTCAATGAAAGGGTGAAATATATACCGTGTGATTAAAGCATGTGACCTAATATTGATAACAGCATCTACAACAAGTCAAGAAAAAACATTTTTTTGATAAATATTTAACAACATGGATGGATTTATTTTACTTTGGTGTCTTGACCATTTAATCCATTTACAAGTGAACAACTGATTCATTTCTATAGGTTACGAATACCGCTTTGTATTGGTTCATTTCCTTTCGATATGGCAAGTAACTTCTGGATCGTCAAACTATTGTCACTGTCAAAATATGTTATGTCACAATAGCAAAAGAGCGAATGTTTTAATTTTCAAACAAGAAATATACTTAACTAAAGAAATTTAAAAAAAAAAAACAAGCGGGCTAGTAAAAAATGTTTAAGTTCTTTAAGTATACACTTAGTACAGTGTCAGGATTTACGCGAAACAATAGTAGTAGCGTAGCAGCAAGTCCAAATAGCTTAATATATTGCAGCAATGTTGTGAAGTAAATCTCTAATAAAATTATTAAAATTTGCGCGTGTGCATCTTCAGGTTACGTTCTGGTACTTTGTATTTCTTTACAGGTAGGCAGCACGACTATGAAAACTTTTTGGCAACTTTGCTTATGACAAAAGCTATTCGAACTCCTGCATTAGTCGTAAGAGCATTTAACGTTGAAGTGGCGAGGGTTCAGGATCAAACGAGCGATCCGCAGACGGCAGCTTTCAGAGTTCAATTCTGGTTGGATGTACTAAATGACATCTATAAAAAGGAACAGAATGTTAGCAATATTCCTGCCAATCCTGTTGCAAAGGAATTGTTCAAGGTAAAACATTTCATGGGCAAATGTGTGAAGTACACTAGTATAATTTCTTAGGGTTTAATTAATTTTTATGCTGTACATAGTTGCAATATCACAATCTCATAGAACATAAGCGTGTAAGTGACATTTCATTTGAAAAATAAAGAACCACCAAAGGATGAGAAGGGGAATTGATTTTACCATTCAGTAGATGTTGTCTCTTCTACTGCTATATTATGTGAAAAAAAAATAAAAATTTCAGATATGTAAATGTTATAATCTACCAAAGAGACACTTAGAGAAACTTGTTCTATCGAGGAGCAGTTTATTAAAATCAAGATACTTCAGAACATTAGAGGATATTGAAAAATATGCTGATGATACAGTATCCTCAATATATCACCTGCTGCTAATGGTTGCGGGAGTGGCAGATATACATGCTGACCATGCTGCGTCACACTTGGGAAAATCACAAGGGCTAACTAACATACTAAGGTAAATTGAATCCTTATTTATTGTAAACATATTTGTTTATACACTTCTAGTGGCTTATCCTGGATTTGCATGGGGGAGGGGGGGTGTAGTGTTTATTTTTGAATCTAGCTAATATTACAAATGCAAAAGTTCGTATGGATGGATGTTTGTTACTTTGTATCTCCACAATGGCTACTTAGTTTTACACAGGTATAAAGTAAGGTACATTATCTATTAGTGAAAGAATTTTTAATCCAGTCTAGTAGTTTTTGAGTTTCTGCATTTCAGAGGTGTAAATCTTTCCTATTTATATAAATATTGAGGGCAAAAATGTACTTTACAAAACTCTTGTGTTTTAGATCAGTTCATGTTTCAAACCATCACAAAATGGTAGCACTCCCAATGGATATTCTGGTGAAGAATAATGTGAGCCAGGAAGATGTTTTGAGGGGGATAGACAGTGAAAAAATGAGAAATGTCGCATTTGAAGTTGCAAGCAGAGCGTATAGTCATTTAGAAAAGGTAACTATATATTTCAATGATTAAATTTAGCATTAGAAAAATAATTAGCGGTAAATATATGAGCTTTGATTGTTTCTTTTTTATTTACTTTCAGGCAAGAAAAATTCAAACACCAAAAACGTCAAATCAAATATTTCTACCAGCAACAGCTGTAGATTTTTACCTTAACAAACTACAGAAGAATAATTTCAATATATTTGACAAATCATTGCATCAAGGCAATGCAACATTACCTTTCAAACTATACTATAACAGATTGGTTAATAAATATTAGTTGTTCCAAAATAAATTGATAATTGTATTCACTGACTTTCATTTTAATGGCAAAAAATATGGAGTAAATAATACTGTAGTAGAAAAATGTAGCTGGCATGTGAATCAAGGGAAGCCGATAATCAAGAAGGGGAGGGGACTAGTAGTAAAAATGTTTTTTTTTTATACCAAAGAGAATGCTTTTCAACATGGTGTCTAATTTTTTTTAAACTGACAAATTTTTCCTAATTATCAGTGAATTTATAGAAGTTTAAGGCTTTTTACATTTTGCAGTAATTTATAGTAGGGGAGCCCAAGCGGGGATTTTGGTATTTACTAGAGCGCGGCTGATTAATATACAGGGGGATACCTTGTACCCGATTAAGTACCTCCAAAAAACATGAGGCCCATATGTAAGGCCACCCGTGAAGGATACAGGATCAGATTAGTAAAAAAATTGAAAATGTTAGAAGAAACAGTGGTCAAGAATAGTAAATGTTTGTTTTTTGATTTTGTAAAAAAAGAATATCAAAAATTATTAGAGCAGCACTGCAGACTATTATCTAATTCCATCAATATTTCTTCGTTATTAGACCGTCACTTGGAAAGAAAATTGATAGAAACTTTAACAATAAGATAAAAATAATTTACGCTAAAAAAAAAAAGATTCTCGTTCCATTCTGCGCCTTAGTTTCAACTAACGCGGATTTGGATACTACGGATGAAGATGATTAATAATCAATTAATTATAAAACATTAAATTGTTTTAAGCTTTTTTATAAGTACATGTATTCTACTAAAAAAAGCATACATTTATTTATTTGCATGCTATTTCCTAAACTTTTCAATTAATTAAGTTCAAGGATTTTTTTTTCAACTTTCTAATTTAAAAAAAAATAAAAAAATTCGGGAAGTTATTGGTTTTACCCCGTTTTGCGAAAATCGAGTTTTCATCAGATCTTGACGTTTTAAGGTCATAGGAAGCTTCCCTGACTACTTCGGTGATGTTGGCACTAAGTCTGTATCTATATGTGTGTGTGTGACTCGCTTATAACTTTTGAACGACCGATCAGAATTTACTAAACGGTGTTTTAAAGATTTCCCTCGAAATTATTTTTCCTGTTAATTTGAACCGATAGATTTGAGAAATTTTGAAAAATCTAAAAAAAAATGAGATTTTTTTTGAAAATATGTAATTGCTTTTAACTGGCATTATCGATTAACTTAAAAAACGAATCCGTCTTTGAGCTTGAAAAACTACGATGATCGCACCAAGCTGGTCAAAATCGGTTGATTCGTTCGAGAAACATCTTGAACGAAAGAAACCCAAAAAAGCGTTTTTTCGGGATTATTCCGATATTTGTTGTTCGATCAATTAAAAATTATGATACTGTATGTTTAGAACATAAAGATAAACCATATATATCTTAATCTGATGCGTTTGAGCATTTCAAAATCGCGATTTTTTTTGCACATTATGAAAATGACTGCGAGTTTACGTCCCATTGAAATCGTCAGATTAGTGAATGAGAGCTTTTTTTTGTGCATTTAACACTCCCTCAGAAAATCTGACGCCCTCGATTAATTTTTTTTTCATTGACAATCTTTAAATACAACCACCCGCATCATGCAAACGATCAGATTTACATACGTGCATTATTAAAAATACGTAGGGCATTGATGCTATCAAAATCTGACGCGCTCGAGGATGTCCATGCAACAGTTTGTTTTACATATTTAAAAATCTTTAGTCGCTTCCCCATCGATGTAAAGTTATAGATCATATAACATTTCTTTCTTCTTATAATCTAAGCTTTGCACCCCAACAGGTTTCTACGACGCTCGAGCAAATCCCCATTAGGCATTGTGGGCTCCCCTACTATATTTTTTACATTTTTCGATTGCCTGCGGGTGGGCTGTTGCATCATGGTGACACCCATAGTATCTGGTGTTATTACATATAAAGACATGTAGAAATTGTTAGTTATACAGAAGAAATAAAACAACTTCAAAGAAACAATTGCACTGTTTACTCACAAGCTTTATCATGCAAATAAATAATCACATTCGAGATTCAAGCAACGTATTTGGCAACCTGAGTACCTTACGACGTACAGACTAAAATTACCATACTAAATACAAAATACGCATAATTGCTAATTCAGAAGACTGTTACATAATCCATTTATAATGTTATGAAATATTCCTGTAATTATAAAGCCTTAAATACTAATAACTTTATTGAAAAATTTACTGTAAGTAATCTTGATTGACAAATAAATATTAGAGTATACAAAATATTAATAAAACTAGTTTAATGTAAGTGCATTCACTTAGAAACTTTGGCTAAATTATAATAAAAATCTTTGGCGATACCAAATTTCATTGTGATGTGCAAAATTCTTAACACAAGCTGAGTAACACTATATGTTGCACCATTAAATAATAAATACTAAATATTTAAGCAATAATTTCTTAACTTTAATGAGCAAATTGAAATCAAATGGATATGAAAATAAAATGGATGGAGCCTTCTATTTAAAGAAATGATAATCTGAATTAACAGCAGTAGTATAAAAAAGTTGTTCCCTTTAAAAAGAGTGGATCCCATCTTTTTCCTAGAAATTTCGCTAATACATTCATAGTACTTTCAATACTTCAACTTTAAAACGGAAAGCTCCATCTATTTTTTTTACAAGATTATTAACAAAAAGTCTTCAGTTCACTTTTAAGCACATCTTAATAATTATTGGGACACAGCCAAATAATAAGTTGACCAAAGATATAAATATATATTAAATGAAATATAATAGATGCAGCACATTGAAAAGGGGTAGATATGTTTTCTAAAGAACATGATTTTATATCGTAAAAATATGTCCCAGACTATGTTGAGTTTCAATTGAATATATTTATATCTTTGTTGTTAACTTTCAATAAATATTAAATTTGGAATGTTTAAGTTAATGCAAGATTACAACTTAAGTTCATTAGACGCTTATGCTTAAGGTAAAAAAAGCTAAAAGTAAGTACTACAATACCATCACAATGAGCTTAATAAAAAAAGAACAGAGATCTGTTGATTATTCCGAAGGTGTTAAATCTTTCTCCGTCTCACTCTCTGATAAAATTTGTTGAAGCAGATCATAAATTGGCTCAAATGCCTTCCGACAAGCTGTGTTTGTTGGTATTAAATAGTCATGCATATCATGATGGCTTATAGTCCCATCACTTTGAATAAAACCTTTATCAATAAAAACCATTTCCACTTTATTCATATTCACAACTTTCTCGCGTAACAGTTGATTGATTTTGGAATTCTTTTCTCGTAAACAATTAGGATGTTGTCCACGAGGTAACAGACTCTGAAATATACAATATTTCAAGTAAAATCTTACTAAAAAGTAATTTTTTATGTTTATTTTGTACTCACTGGTAGGACAATGTATGAGTTTGGATGTTTCTCCCGGATTATTCTCACAATTTCAAGGATACCTTCGCAGATCTGTTCAGCAGAATGATCAACATTGTTTGTGCCAACATGCAATACTACAACCTGAAAATTACATTATTATGACAATTACAAACATAATTATTATCGATAATGAATCACCTAAAAATACATACCTTTGGATCAACATGATCAAGCTCCCCATTTTTAATACGCCATAAAACATTCTGAGTTTGATCTCTATGGATACTAAAATTGAGGCAATGGAGAGGAGCAAACCATTGGTTCCATACTTCAGTGTGTTCCAATGCTTGTAATATGGAATCACCTATAAATACTACATCAGCTTCTTTCCCCTTAGCATCAGACAGAAACCGATTGTGCTAGAATGTTAAAAATTACAATTTATTAAAATGTAATTCATTAACACTTTTTCAAATCATTAAAAATAGACTTTATTATGCTTCGTTGCACATTAGACAGATATTTAATTAAAGACATCCTACTGATGTTTTAACCCACGTATATGAAGCTGTAATAACGATTAGAGAAACTTACAATGCTATTCCAACGACCATCACCCTCATTATCATGTTGAGGAGCAGCATCAGAACACGGATTCATGCTACCACTTTCGAATATCTGTAAAAATAGAATATTTTAACTATACGTGTCTGTAAAACAAAATTACTTCATACGAAATTGAATGTCCATACTGTGATTGGTAATGTTAAAATCTATTTTTTTTCCTTCTTTGATACAAAATTACTGAACACTTTACGGTATAAACAAAACCATATGCATAAAAATTCATGTAAAACTCCCTTGAATATGTAGCACATTCAAGATTTTAGACAATTCAATAGACATTTAATTTTTTTATCTGTTAAATCCATAGATTATTTACTAGTGATGCGTGAGTGTGATGCAGTCTTACGACAATCGATTTTGTCGGTAATTTGAATGAGATTGACATCGATTTATCTATGAACGAAATCGTTCTTTGTATTGTCCAACATTCTTATTGACAGTTGACAATTAGCTTCAAGGTGACACTGACAGTAACAATTTGTGGCAAATGGTTGTCATTTTTAAAATCGTGATATTTCCCATCTTTACCACTTTGATTTGATAAGTTCATAACTTAATAATGGAAGATAACAACGACATAGAAGTGCTAGAAAATAAACATCGAAAAGAGAAGAAAGAATTACAAGCGCATATTCAAGCACTAAAAAAAGTTGCAAAAAATGATAAAACGAAGAAAAAAGAGCTTACCGCAGAAATTGCAAGGTTAGAATTAGAACTTGATAATCGACAAAAGAAAGAAATGGAAGCTGTTTCGAAAGAAAATTCAATCGATAACGAATTGGTACAACTAGATGAAAATGAAGACATAAAGATTAAGTTATCGAAAGCACAAAAAAGAAGAGTGAAAAAGGAGCAACAAGAAAGAGAACGCGAGCTAGAAATAAAGTTACAGGAAAAAGAAAACATCAATGGGCCGAGGAATTTAGAAAACCAGGCAATTTGTAATAGATTAAAAGAGATTAATTTGCAGGTATATTCTATTCCTTCTGACGGGGATTGTTTATACAAAGCTGTTTCACACCAGCTATTTGTTAAAAGGAAACAATCAATATCAGTAGAAGAATTACGAAAACAAACCTCTAATTACATAAGAGAAAACAAAGAAGATTTTATGCCATTCCTGAACAACCCAGAAACTTGTGATTTGTTGACAGACAGTGAGTTTGAGGAATATTGTGATAAAATAATAAATAGTAAGGTATGGGGTGGGCAAATAGAAATTAGGGCATTATCAAATTATTTGAAATGTCCAATAAGCATAATACAAGCCACAGGCCCCGCTTCTATACAGCAAGGTGAAGAATTTGATGGACCTTCATTAGTTATCACTTACCACAGACATATGTATAGATTAGGTGCACATTACAATTCTACATTAGTCATTGAAGATGAACATGTAGAGCACTAATTTATTTCTAAGATTCTACATTGTAAAAATATGTCTGTATATATAATTTTAGTTCTGTACTGTAAAAGTATATCACAAGTGTAACATGTAATAAGAATGCTGTAATCACAGTTTAAATGTTTCTACAAAAAACATAATTTTCTTTAAGCTATAGTAATCAATTTACATTATTAAAAGGTATAAAATAATACATTTTTTCATTTGATAATTTATTAATGCAAAGTAAATGGTTTTTAAAACACTTTAGAACAACAATATAAGTTAATACTATAGGGTTCCATTTTGAACGGAAGGCCCTTCTGGTTCATTTTCATTGTGATGTTTGTTTGGGTCATCTGGTTTCATGGCGGGGAACAGCAACACTTCCTGTTACAGTAAGAAATATTCAAGGCATACAGGAAAATATATTCTACTGTTACAAAAATTACACAGGAAAGTTAGCTTGTAAATGGCAATTTTACTAATACTTTTTTATCACATTTACCAATAACACAAATTGATTTATAAGACACTATTTTTGGCAATAAGCATATTGAGCATTCAAAAAAGAAAACCTGATTTCAAGATAAGATAAAACTTCAAGTACCCTTTTTTAAGAAAAACATAAATACTATTGGATAGTTTTATAATATGAAACATGAGTTAATAAAACAATTGGATTGAGAACTCCTTTTTTTTGTGGCAGTTAAAAAGTTAACATGTATACTGTAGATAAATGTAAAAAATTATGTTCCGAAGTACTTTGTTGGAAATAAAACATTGTTATCCTCCACAAAGGTAGCTTAGTTCAGTTAAAATAATTACGTAGTTTATACTAACCTTGATGTTATTGGAGTCTGTCATGAACATTGTGAACCTGTCGACGCCGAGCCCCCAGCCGGCGGTGGGCGGCAGGCCGTACTCGAGCGCGGTGCAGAATGCCTCGTCAGTGGGCGGAGTTTCATCGTCTCCCGCCGCGCGGTCCTTGGCCTGCTGCTCGAAGCGTTCGCGCTGCGTCGCCGGGTCGTTCAACTCCGTGTATGCATTGCATATTTCTTTCTTCATTACAAACAACTCGAATCTGACAAATTAAATGAGGTATAAGACGATACTAAAATGTTTTATGTTACAGCATCTAAATAAGGCCAAAATTAACCAGTAATCAGATATTGGGAAATTATTCCCCACTTGAATACCATATTTCTTTAATGGTAACTAATGAGTACCAACTTTAGAAATAAAATCCCCTTTATATAACAAAATATACAGAACCTACTAACCTAAAAACCATCACCAGTTTAAGATTATACTAAACAAAATCTCTTATTTGATTAAGGGTTAAACTATAATGCCATAAAAATATTGATATCTGACAAATTGCAAGCAGCGCTTATGAAGTGATATAACATACCTTTCAGTGAGTCCTGGCATTTCTCTGTGATACTTGGACAGTGGACTCATAATTTGAGGATGATCTAATATGAAGGTAGGGTTAATGCATTTCTCTTCAAGGAACTCGCCCACTAATTTATCTAGTAGTCTGGCTGTAGTCCTGGGTGGAGGACATTCTACCTGTAATTAAAATTAACAAATAAATAACACTTAACTACTAACAACCAATTAATTAAAATTCTCATAATATAAAAAAAAATTACCTCATGTTTAAGACACAACTCACTGAGAAGGGCATTTGCTTCAGGAGTATCCAACTTATCAGCTGGGGGAAGTTTCACACCAAGCACTTTCTCCAATGTTGCAATCATAGGCATTCTGGCAAATGGTGGTGTGAAGTCGATTTCCACCTCTTTACCTTCAGGACCATCCGGATGATAGATAACCTAGCAATAAAAAAAGTGTTGAATAGAGGAATCTACCTCATAGGTTGTTAAGTAGCAGTCCTCAGCAAGCAACTAAAATGCCATTCTTGATTTAGAAATTGAAACTCAATTCCGCATTCCAATAATTTCTTAAAACATCTTAAAGTTATATCATATTGTGATTTATAAATAATAATAATAATAAATAATAATAAATTCGTTTATTTGAAAAATAAATACAAAAGTTTTAAACAGTTGTTGGAGCATCCTTTTAAGTATAAAATACCTGTGACAG